TAGAGTGAGTTGAATGTTTATTTGCTTTTAGTTTTTGATTTGAAGAGAAATAACATGTTTCTGGTTTTATTTAGGGCCGAGCAAATTGATGGTTTTCTGGATGATTATGCCTTTTTGATTAAAGGTTTGTTGGATTATTATAAGGCCTCTTTGGATCCTTTTGCTTTGCAATGGGCCAAGGAATTGCAAGAAGTTCAGGATAACTTATTCTGGGATTCCGAACATGGTGCTTATTTCTATTCAAAGGCTAATTCGCCAAATGTGGTGGTGCGTTTAAAGGATGGTAAGTTGTAAAATCTTACTTCAGTTCCTGTTCAGTTCTAGTTCAGTTCTAGTTCAGTTCTAGTTCAGTTCTAGTTTAGTTCTAGTTCAGTTCTAGTTCAGTTCTAGTTCAGTTCTAGTTCTGTTCTAGTTCTGTTCTAGTTCAGTTCTAGTTCAGTTCTAGTTCAGTTCTAGTTCAGTTCTAGTTCAGTTCTAGTTCAGTTCTAGTTCAGTTCTAGTTCAGTTCTAGTTCAGTTCAGTTCTAGTTCAGTTCTAGTTAAGTTCTAGTTCAGTTCTAGTTCAGCTCTAGTTCAGTTCTAGTTCAGTTCTAGTTCAGTTCTAGTTCAGTTCTAGTTCAGTTCTAGTTCAGTTCTATTTCAGTTCTAGTTCAGTTCTAGTTCAGTTCTAGTTCAGTTCTAGTTCAGTTCTAGTTCAGTTCTAGTTCAGTTCTAGTTCAGTTCTAGTTCAGTTCTAGTTCAGTTCTAGTTCAGTTCTAGTTCAGTTCTAGTTCAGTTCTAGTTCAGTTCTAGTTCAGTTCTAGTTCAGTTGTAGTTCAGTTCTAGTTCACTTTTAGTTCATTTCCAGTTTATTTCTAGTTCAGTTCTAGTTTAGTTCTAGTTCAGTTCTAGTTCAGTTCTAGTTCAGTTCTAGTTCAGTTCTAGTTCAGTTCTAGTTCAGTTCTAGTTCAGTTCTAGTTCAGTTCTAGTTCAGTTCTAGTTCAGTTCTAGTTCAGTTCTAGTTCAGTACTAGTTAAGTTCTAGTTCAGTTCTAGTTCAGTTCTAGTTCAGTTCTAGTTCAGTTCAAGTTCAGTTCTAGTTCAGTTCTAGTTCTAGTTCAGTTCTAGTTCAGTTCTAGTTCAGTTCTAGTTCAGTTCTAGTTTAGTTCTAGTTTAGTTCTAGTTCAGTTCTAGTTCAGTTCAAGTTCAATTCTAGTTCAGTTCTAGTTCAGTTCTAGTTCAGGTTTAGCTCAGTTCTAGTTCAGTTTTAGATCAGTTGTAGTCCAGTTCTAGTTCAGTTTTAGATCAGTTGTAGTCCAGTTCTAGTTTATTTCTAATTCAGTTCTAGTTCTAATTGAGTTTTCTATATTTTTCCAGATCACGATGGCGCTGAACCTTGTGGCAACAGTGTGGCAGCACGTAATCTCATTTTACTTTCACACTATTTCGATGATGATAGTTATGCTCAACGTGCTTCCAAACTATTTGAATTCTTTTCGGATCAACAGCCTTTCGGTTATGCTCTACCCGAAATGTTGTCGGCTTTAATGCTGCATGAAAATGGTCTAGATTTGGTGGCTGTTGTAGGACCAGATTCTGAAACTACTAAAAAATTTGTAGAGATATGTCGTAAATACTACATACCTGGCATGATTATTGTTCATGTTAATCCTCAAGATCCCGAACATGCCTACAATCAACGTGTACAACAGAAATTTAAAATGATTAATGGTCAAACTACCGTCTATATATGTCATGATAAAGTCTGTCGTATGCCCGTCACCGATCCCGTTAAATTGGAGGAAAATTTAACTGAAAATTTCTTTAAAGGCAGAGTTTAAATAAGCTTTAAGAAAAGAATAATGAGATTAATAACTACATTATAAGCTTGTAGATTATTATTATTATTGTGTACTGTTGTATGTTTTTGTGCCTTTTCTTTGGAAAAAGTAATGCTTAGTTTTTAGCTAGTCTCGAAATAGTTTTGGTTATAGTGCTAGTTCTCTATATACATATATATTTTTTATGGTGTAATTAACGTTAACAGAAATTGTATTATTAATAATTTGACCTTAAAGTTGTTTGTTACCATTTTGTTAATTGAAATGATTGAAAAAAATATACTATAAAAAGTTTTTTATGAAAAAACTTTTTCTTCTAGATATTTTATCTAAAATTGTGTTATTATATCTATAAAAAACTTGTAGAAATTGTAAAAAAAATATTATATATAAATATTACATTAAATAAAACCAATAAATAAACAAATCGATGAGTGTTATAATTTTTTAAGGTGTTTTATGGGACCAACAATAAAATCAATTGTTAATTACTTGCGATAACAGTTTATCATAATAATCTATTTTAAAACAATTTTGATGAAAAATTTAACATTGAGTTTTTGTTTTTTTTTCGTTAAAAATCTTTTTTTGGTACAAAATAAATTTTAAAATCAAAATTAAAAATATACAAATTTTCAATAAATTTTCTTTTGTATATAAAGTTTTCGATAATATTTAGTTTTTATAAAATGTTAATTTTAATGGTATTTAAAAAGAGAGATTTTAGCAGAGCTGTAAATGAATCAATCCTTTTTGAGTTAATTCGCGAATTATTCATGCACTGAATTAAGATATTTAGATAGATAGATAGATAGATAGATAGATAGATAGATAGATAGATAGATAGATAGATAGATAGATAGATAGATAGATATAGATAGATAGATAGATAGATAGATAGATAGATAGATAGATAGATATTCGTTCGTTAGTTAGCTAGTTCGTTAGTTGTTAGTTATTAGTTAGTTAGTTAGTTCGTTAGTTCGTTATTCGTTCGTTAGTTAGTTAGTTAGTTCGTTAGTTCGTTTCGTTCGTTAGTTAGTTCGTTCGTTCGTTTCGTTGTTTTCGTTCGTTAGTTCGTTCGTTCGTTCTTGTTCGTTCGTTTCGTTCGTTAGTTCTTAGTTCGTTCTTTAGTTAGTTAGTTCGTTCGTTCTTAGTTCGTTAGTTCTTAGTTCGTTAGTCGTTCGTTCGTTCGTTCGTTCGTTCGTTCGTTCGTTCGTTCGTTCGTTTTTCGTTCGTTCGTTCGTTCGTTCGTTCGTTCGTTCGTTCGTTCGTTCGTTCGTTCGTTCGTTCGTTCGTTCGTTCGTTCGTTCGTTGTTCGTTCGTTGTTCGTTCGTTCGTTCGTTTCGTTCGTTCTTCGTTCGTCGTTCGTTCGTTCGTTCGTTCGTTCGTTCGTTCGTTCGTTCGTTCGTTTCGTTCGTTTTCGTTCGTTCGTTCGTTCGTTCGTTCGTTCGTTCGTTCGTTCGTTCGTTCGTTCTTCGTTCGTTCGTTTCGTTCTTTTCGTTTCGTTCGTTCGTTCGTTTTCGTTCGTTCGTTCGTTTTCGTTCGTTCGTTCGTTCGTTCGTTCGTTCGTTCGTTCGTTCGTTCGTTTCGTTCGTTGTTCGTTCGTTAGTTCGTTTCGTTCGTTTCGTTCGTTCGTTCGTTTCGTTTCGTTCGTTCGTTCGTTCTTTCGTTCGTTCGTTCGTTCGTTCGTTCGTTCGTTCGTTCGTTCGTTCGTTCGTTCGTTCGTTCGTTCGTTCGTTCGTTCGTTCGTTCGTTCGTTCGTTCGTTCGTTCGTTCGTTCGTTCGTTCGTTCGTTCGTTCGTTCGTTTCGTTCGTTCGTTCGTTCGTTCGTTCGTTTCGTTCGTTCGTTCGTTCGTTCGTTCGTTCTTCGTTCGTTCGTTCTTCGTTCGTTCGTTCGTTCGTTCGTTCGTTCGTTCGTTCGTTCGTTTCGTTCGTTCGTTGTCGTTCGTTCGTTCGTTCGTTCGTTCGTTCTTTCGTTCGTTCGTTCGTTTCGTCGTTCGTTCGTTCGTTCGTTCGTTCGTTCGTGTTCGTTCGTTTTCGTGTTCGTTCGTTTTTCGTTCGTTTCGTTCGTTCGTTCGTTCGTTCGTTCGTTCGTTTTTCGTTCGTTCGTTCGTTCGTTCGTTCGTTCGTTCGTTCGTTTCGTTCGTTCGTTCGTTAGTTCGTTCGTTCGTTCGTTCGTTCGTTCGTTCGTTCGTTTTCGTTCGTTCGTTCTTCGTTCGTTCGTTCGTTTTTTTTTTCGTTCGTTCTTCGTTCGTTCGTTCGTTCGTTCGTTCGTTCGTTCGTTCTTCGTTCGTTCGTTCGTTCGTTCGTTCGTTCGTTCGTTCGTTCGTTCGTTCGTTCGTTCGTTCGTTCGTTCGTTTTCGTTCGTTCGTTCGTTCGTTCTTCGTTCGTTCGTTCGTTCGTTCGTTCGTTCGTTCGTTCGTTCGTTCGTTCGTTCGTTCGTTCGTTCGTTCGTTCGTTCGTTCGTTCGTTCGTTCGTTCGTTCGTTCGTTCGTTCGTTCGTTCGTTCGTTCGTTGTTCGTTCGTTCGTTTCGTTCGTTCGTTCGTTCGTTCGTTCGTTCGTTCGTTCGTTCGTTCGTTTCGTTCGTTCGTTCGTTCGTTCGTTCGTTCGTTCGTTCGTTCGTTCGTCTCGTTCGTTCGTTCGTTCGTTCGTTCGTTCGTTCGTTCGTTCGTTCGTTCGTTCGTTCGTTCGTTCGTTCGTTCGTTCGTTCGTTTTGTTCGTTCGTTCGTTCGTTCGTTCGTTCGTTCGTTTCGTTCGTTCGTTCGTTCGTTCTTCGTTCTTCGTTTCGTTCGTTCGTTCGTTCGTTCGTTCGTTCTTTCGTTCGTTCGTTCGTTCGTTCGTTCGTTCGTTCGTTCGTTCGTTCGTTAGTTAGTTAGTTAGTTAGTTAGTTAGTTAGTTAGTTAGTTAGTTGTAGTTAGTTAGTAGTTAGTTAGTTAGTTAGTTAGTAGTTAGTTAGTTAGTTAGTTAGTTAGTTAGTTAGTTAGTTAGTAGTTAGTTAGTTACACATAAACATTCCTCCCAAGATATTCGGATTTCATCTCGGCCAAAGCTCTTTTATAAAGTTTTTAAAAAAGAATATATAGATTCAAGATATATCCCAAAAATATTGTCAGATGTCCTCCCCTCCCTACAAACTTTGTCATTAGTTAATAAAAACAAAAAAGTTTATTATTTTTTTGAGATAATGATTTTTTTTTTTTATTTTTTTAATATTTTTATTTAATTTTTTATTACATTATACAATACATTCAAAGAGTTGGAACTTTTTTTTAAAAAAGAATTTTTTTCTGAACGTACGACGTTCTTTCAATTTGTTTATAAACTAAAAAAAAATGAACATAATATCGTTAATATAATGGAATACTATATAAGAGTTTTTTTTATTTTTAAGATATTTTGTGTGTTTTATTAAATTCATAAGAAAACGTTTTCGAAACTTCGAAAAAAAAACACAAATAAAACCAATAAACAAAGAAAAAAATTTAGAGTAATAAGAGAACAACTTAAGTAAAACAAGTACTAAGATGCAACAACTCTTAAAAAAAAACATAAAGAAAATTAAGGTGTTTTCAGTGTAAGGTTAAGCAGGAAGATAAAGGAATTTATAATAGGAGGCATCCATGGTAAAAAGGTACTTTTTCACATTAAATTATTTATTTACTGATGTTTTAAGTAAAATAATTTATTTAGGTTTAGTTTAAGGATTTTCTTTTCATAAACAATTTTCTTCTTTCTTTTTTTTTTTGTTGGCTGGTGAATGTTTAGTAGTTTTTTCTTTTTAATACACATTTGTAATAGAAAATTATAAAAAAAGGAAAATAAAACTTAATTCATTATGAAATTACTAAATATTATAATAATAATAAACTGAAATAAAAAAAATTATAATTTAAAATTACACAGAAATTCATTCTTCATCACATTGAGACCCATTTTTTTAAAAAAGTTTAACGCTTAGGGCATTATTTTTTTATGCTTTTAATAGTTTTATATTTTAATAATATAATTATTAAAATCTTACAAAATTTTCTTTAAGGTTAAAGAGAGTTTTTCGCGAGGGGTGTATTTAAAAGGTTTTTTTCTATAAAAATTGTGTTACTAAAAGGCTTAAAGCGTTTGATAAGTAAACTTCTAAGTTTTCGAAATTTTCAATTTTGAGTAAATTGTGAGATCTTTATAGATTCTTTATTTTTAAAAGTTTTTAAATTCAATCTTTAGAATTTTAAACAAATTTTGTTAAAGATTTCAATTTGATGCACAGTTCTAAACAGAAATCTTTAGTTTAAAGCAGAAAAACACAGAAAGTTTTAATATTTTGGAAACAAGAACGATTTACTGTAATTCTAAACACAACTGGAACCAAGATATTTTAGAAATTCTTCAATATTTTCTATAAATTTCAAATTTTCAATTTATGCTTTTAAACCTACAAAAAAAATTAATAAACTCTACTCTTTTACTTTCTTAACAAAGTAAAATTCTCTAAAATTTACCTTTAAACAGCCCACGCTACACTCCCTCCATGACCTCAAGACCACAAGCAATAGAAAATATTGCAAGATATTAATATGAATGTAAGATAAAACCTTTTAGGTTTCATTAAAACTCATGGCTTCATCGAATATATCAACCATGGCCTCCATACGTTCAGCATGTTCAAAGCGGGCAAAACGTCGTTCCCGTTTGGTTAGCGACAACCGTTGAGAGGGCTTTATGCGGCCCAAACGATGAAAGCGGGTATCTTCCTCTTCGGTATCGTATTCGGGTGCCGAGACAGAATCCTCTTCATCACGTTCCCGAAATGTTTTATTCAGATTGCGATGAACCTTAACGATTTTCATTAATTTCACATCGTGTTTGCGTATAGAACGTGAGGTGGAGGAGACACCACGCTCTGGCTGGAATTTAGTTTTTGAAGAGGACGACGACGACGATGATGATGTACCGTTTGAGGCGGTTATGGAGACAACATTAAAAAGTTCTGCTAATTCAGCATCAGTACGTTGCTGTTCCTTCAATTTCTTTTGTACTTGGGTGCATAATCGAGAATGTAGAGTAGACTGTCGAGCCGCTGTTGTTCCTCTTCGGTAACGAGGCCTTCAATGCCGGAATTCGGTAGAGATGAGGACAACAGGCTTGTATTAGTGGGGGTTAGAGAAGTGGGCGTGGAAGGTGGTGCCGGTGGTAGTCCACTGTTAAGGCCTCCTCCTCCACCTCCAAGTGGACACACGTTGGCATTATGACCATTTAAACCCACAACGCCGCTACTACCGCCTCCACCACCACCATGTGACACCGTGTAACGGCGACGGGGTCGTCTGCGTTTGACTAATTTCCACGAGTATATGGACTCCAAATCATTATTGTCCATTAAGGCCAATTCTAATTCTGTGTGCGTTGGTGGCGTTGGACACAATTCCACATTAAATTCTTCATCTGATTTGGCCATTTCGATTGTCTTTTTTTGTTTTTTATTTATTTATTTATTTATTTTTTATTTTTATTATTTACATCGTAAGTATTTTTGTTGTGTTTTGTTGTTTTTTTCCCAATTCCACATTAAAGTAAACACACAATACACACACATACAATAGCATAGGAAACACAAAAGAGAAAGAAGAATTAAAAAAAAGAGAATGAATAAAAAGTTATACACAAATTTTTAGCTAATTTTGCCAACTAAAAGTAAAATTTATTAAATTTTATTTGCAACAATGCACACACTCACCTGGAAGAGATATTCAGCTTCCGAATATTTTTGATCCGTCAAACGGTGATATTCAGACATTTTTATAACATGGGCCAAAAAATGAAACACACACTCTGACTTGCCCTCACTAGTTCAAGAAACAGTCCAGAAAAACTATTACTACAACACGGCTTTGACTGTCCGACTGACTGGCTGGCTGGCCGATGATGATGATGTTGTTGAGATAGTGTTGTTTTTCGTGTTGGTCTCTCTGCTGGTGTTTTTTTCTTATTATTATTTTATAGAATAGAAAAATAATAAACAAACACACACTATTATTTTGACTCGTATTTCTTTTTATTATTTTTGCTACTGCTGCTGCTGGTGTTGTTTTTATTGCCTTGTTTTTCAGCTGGCTAGTGAAAAATGCCGTACGGAAATCTGTGTAGGAAAATTATTCTTCTCAATACACCACGAACAAAATATGAAAGAAAAATCGTAGAAAAAACATATAGAAGAAAAATATATATGGACTTACATATATATATTTTTACAATTCCTCTTTGCTTAAGTACATTATTATTGTGAAGTGTTTTTTATAGTGTTTTTGTTTTTGTTTTTGCCAAGTGTCAAAGACCTGCGTCAAAGAAAATTAATAACGGCGTTGGCTTTAAGCCGACGTAGTTTTCAACAGTTTGTTTTACAACGGTATTTTCCTTGAAGTGTTTCTCAGAAAATATCTGCTGTAGGAGGTAAAACTGCATCTTATTATTTTGCAATATTGTCAAGAGAAATAATAATAAAGCAACTTGTATAAATAAATTTAAATATCATGGTAAAATAACATATATTTTCATTTTATTCTTTTGGCATTGTCAATATTGCCATTCATTTTTTTAAACTAAACATTTGCAAATTTCATAGAGTTGCCATACCTTTTCGTTTAACAAAATGTTCTAGAATAAACAAAATTAAATGAATCACCACTTTTCTATGAACAAATAAATTAAAAATGGCAAATTTAATAACAAAAACCAGATTTATAATTGTGAAATTTTTATTACAAATATTTTCAATAAAATTAATTGTCAAGGAAATGTAATGACACATTTCTTGGGTTTAGTGTATAACATAAATATTTTAATGTTCAAATTTGAAAAAAACAAATCGTTACAACACAATGTACGTAAAAAAATTAAAAAAGGGATGTTTGTCGTCAGCAGAATACGATATCGAAGAAGAAGACACCTGCTTTTAAAGTTTAGGTCACAAAAGCCCTCTTAACGTTTGTTCCTAACAAACTACGTTTTGCCCGTTTTAGAGATGTTAAATGTACAACGTAAATACGTTCGAAGATTTTAATAAAATTTCTTTTTTATAGAAAACTATAAACAATTTTGGATAAATTTTCATTCTTTATAGTAAATTTTCGAATAATTTTCTTTATTTTTGAACATTTTCGATACATTTTATTTTTGATAAATTTTGTTTTTTATAGACATTTTTTGGAATGATTTTCATCCTTTATAGACAATTTTCGATAAATTTCCTTTATTATAAAACATTTTCGAAACATTTTTGTAGAAAATTTTAGAAACTTTATTGAATTTTCATTACAAATTTTTTTCATACATTTTCTTTTCTATCGAAAATTTTTGATAAATTAGTTTTTCCTACAAAAAAATTTCGATAAATTTCCATTTTTATGGAAAATTTTCTTGTTTTATAAAAAATTTTGTTTTATTCGATAAATTTCTTTTTTATATGAAATTTTCGATAACTTTTCAATTTTTTAAAAAATTGCTGATGTATATTATTTAAAAAAATCTATTAATTTAAATTTTTTATTAAAAAATTTTCTATAATTTTTTTTATAGAAAAATTTCAACAAATTTTTGATAAAAATTTCTCTTCTTTTTTTAATAAAAATTTTATAAATTTACTTTCTTATGTTCAAAGTTTTCGATATTTTTTTCACAAAACAATTTCAATAAATTTAAAATAGAAAATTTTCTATGAGTTTTCGATAAATTTTCTTTTTATAAAAAAATTTCGATTAGTTTTCCTTTTTATAGAAAATTTTTGAATAATTTTTATTTTTTTGAGAAAATTGTTGATCAGATTTGTTTCCATATAGAAAATTTAAGATAACTTTTATTTTCTTTTTCCTTTTTTGGTGAAAATTTTCGATAAGTTTTATTTTTTTATAGTAAATTTTAGATAAATTTTCTTTTTTATAGAAAATTTTAAATAAATTTTCTTTTTTATAGAAAATTTTCGAGAAATTTTAATATAAATTTTCGACAATTATTTTTTAAATAAAAAATTTTCCATAAATTTTCCTTCTTTAATAGAAAATATTTTATAAATTTAAATTTTTATATAAAATGTCATTTATAAAATAATTTTTATTAATTTTATTTTTTATAGAAAATGTTCAATAAATGTTTACAGAAATTTTTGAGAAATTTTCTTGTTTTATAAAAATAATTTTTAGAAAAATCTCTATAAATTTTCAACACATTTTCAAAAATATTTTTTGATCATTATTTGTTTGTAGATAATAATATACAAAATTTCCAAAGAAAAATTTCGTTAAAATTTCTTTTAATTAAAAATTTCGATACGATATCTTTTATAATAATTTCAATACATTTTTATAGAAATTCTATATATTTTTCTATTTACAAAAAAATTCAGTCAAATTTTATAATTATAGAAAAATTTACGTCAATTTTCTCGTGGTGGAGAATATCTAACGGTTTTCAATGTTGCCATATGTTTGAAATTTGTTTTACAGCCTTGCCATTACGAAAACATATGTTTTCACTCTCTTTTTTATTTTCGCATGTCACGAGAATTCTTTTTCTTTCTAGCTGTCATATTATTGTTGTTTCCTCTTTGCTTTGGCTTTTGACAATTCATCGGCCGGGTGTTTTCGTTAAATCTCTTTTACATAGATTTTCGTACGGTCTGCAAATAGTAGCAAGAAAATTTGTTTTCCAGATTTGTAGATTGATTAAATAAATCCGAAGGAATCCGTGTGTGTTAAAGAAATAATTAAATAAAAAATTATGAGCGGTTTTCCGGGAACCTTTGCCTTTGATGAATATGGCAGACCTTTCATCATTTTACGGGATCAAGATCAACAAAAACGTATCACAGGCACAGATGCCATAAAGGTACAAAAGAATTTGCAAGAAAGCTAAAAAAATAAATTAAAAATTTCAATTAATATAAATAATTGAGAAAAAAGTGAAGTTTTAATATGGACTTGTAAAAATTGGTGGTAATTTTTATAAAATGTTAAAAAGCCGGTGTTAGATTTATAAAGGAAAATTCCAGATGTTCTAATGTAAAGACCGGGTGTTAAAGAAATGTGAATTATTGGTGTTAAAATTGTGTTAAATATATTATTTATTATTAAAATGATGTATTTGTTGCAAAAAATGTATGAAAAATATCCTTATGGTTTGGACTAATTAAGTTTTGTTACCATGACGTCACGGTGGAAGACCAAATTCTGTTTTTTTCTTATTTGCTCTTTAAACAAAAGCGAAAAAATAATTTGAGGTTAAAGACGCTTTTTGTATGAGTCAGTCCCAAATTGTGCGAGTATGTGTTCATGCATTTCTTATTACAAATCATATGAGAAAGAAACATGCCGTAAAGACAAACAGACGAACAGATGGTGTTTTAAATGCGATTTAAGGGAGTGGGCAGTACTAAAGTTTTACAAAGCAATATATGTTAAGTTTTTGTTGTTGTAATAACAATTCCACTGTTGTCTGGAGTACTGTGTTGGAACAAAAACTTATTGGCTTAAATAGCTGTCATTCAGTAGCCAATAATTGGCAGCAGGAATTGCAAATGAAGTTATAAAATTGTTCAAAATCGGCTTCATTAGTTAGTAAATCAGGTAACAGATTAATCAATCGACTGGTCAATAGATTAGTTTATCAGCTAGTCAAAAGACTAGTCCATAGGATAGTCAAAATATTGGTCTATTTGACTGGCCAGTCAATAGATTGTAGTATAGTCTAGTCAATAGACTGATCAATAGGTTAATAGGCTAGTCAATAGTCTGGTCTATAGGCTAGTCCATAGACTCGTATATAGGCTAGTTAATAGGCTGCTCATTAGGCTAGTCCATAGACTGGTCTATAGGCTAGTCCATAGACTAATCAATAGGCTAGTCCATAGACTAATCAATAGGTTTTAGAATGTGATACATAAACGACCAAGAAACCGTTATGTTTTGAGTAGCTTCGGAACCGAATGTTTCTAAAAAAAAAAATAAGTTTAGATTGAAACGTTTTGAAATAGCTTCTAGCTTAACATAACCCGCATTAGTTCAACTTCTAATTGGAATTTTTTAATTAATTATTTAACAACTTTTCAAATTTATTTTCTCTTTCTTTTCTCAGAGTCACATTTTGGCTGCTCGCCAAATTGCCTCCACCATTAAGACCTCTTTGGGTCCCAAGGGTTTGGATAAGATTATGGTTAGTCCTGATGGTGATGTTACCGTTACCAATGATGGTGCTACTATTATGAAACTCATGGATGTTGATCATGAAATTGGCAAATTAATGGTCCAGCTGTCACAATCACAAGATGATGAAATTGGTGATGGTACCACTGGTGTTGTAGTCTTGGCTGGAGCCTTGCTCGAACAAGCCGAGGGTCTCATCGATCGTGGCATCCATCCCATACGTATTGCTGATGGTTTTGAATTGGCTGCTCAGTGTGCCGTTAAGCAATTGGAAGCTATTGCTGAACCCTTCCCAATTGATCCTAACAATAAGGAACCTTTGATTCAAATTGCTATGACCACTTTGGGTTCAAAGATTGTCAATAAGTGTCATCGTCAAATGGCCGAGATGGCTGTAGATGCTGTCTTAAATGTAGCCGATATCGAAAAGAAAGATGTCAATTTTGAATTGATCAAGATCGAAACCAAAGTAGGCGGTCGTATGGAAGATTCTATGTTGGTTAAGGGTGTTGTTGTCGACAAGACCATGAGTCATGCTCAAATGCCCAAGACATTGCGTGATGTCAAATTGGCTATACTCACCTGTCCTTTTGAACCACCAAAGCCTAAGACCAAGCATAAGTTGGATGTTACCTCCGCTGAGGATTACAAGGCATTGCGTGAATATGAACAAGAGAAATTCATTGATATGGTCAAGAAGGTTAAAGATGCTGGTGCTACTTTAGCCATCTGCCAGTGGGGCTTTGATGATGAAGCCAATCACTTGTTGTTGCAACACGAATTGCCTGCTGTCCGTTGGGTAGGTGGTCCTGAAATTGAATTGATTGCCATTGCTACCGGTGGCAGAATTGTACCACGTTTCGAAGAATTGACTCCTGAGAAATTGGGTACTGCTGGTCTGGTTAGAGAAGTTTGTAAGTTGAGATTTTGTTGTTTTAAAAGAAAATTCTTATTTTAATTGATTTTTTGTTTGCTTTTCTAGCCTTTGGCACCTCTAAGGACAAGATGCTGGTCATCGAGGAATGCAAAAACTCTAAGGCTGTTACCATTTTCTTGCGCGGTGGCAATCAAATGATTGCTGCTGAGGCTAAACGTTCCATTCATGATGCTTTGTGTGTTGTTCGTTCTTTGGTTAAGGTAAGAAGTTAAAAATTAAAAAAAATAATTTAAGGAAAATTTCACTATTTTTATGTGAAACATTTTAGTTTTTTTGCGAAAATTTTAGTGAAAAGTTCTAGTGGAACTTTTTTGGTGAAAATTTTTTGTGAAATTTTTGGTGAAAAATTTTTGTGAAATTTTTTGGTGAAAAATTTTTGTGAAATTTTTTGGTGAAAAATTTTGGTGAAAATTTCAGTGATTTTTTTGTGAAACATTTTCACCATATTTTTTCACTAAAAAATTTCACCATATATTTTCACTAAAAAATTCACCAAATTTTTTCACAAAACAATTTAACAAATAAAAATAATTCACTAAATTTTTTCACTGAAATTCACCAATTTTTTTCACTAAAAATATTTCACCAAAAAAATCAAGAAAATTTCATTAAATATTTTTACTAACAAAATTTCACTTCAAATTTTCACAAAAAAATTTTACCAAAAAATTTTAAAATTTTTTTCACTAAAATATTCAATATTTTTTCTTTTTTTTCCTTTTAGGATTCCCGCATCGTTTATGGTGGTGGTGCTGCTGAAATCAGCTGCTCTTTGGCCGTTGCCAAGGAAGCCGATCAACTCTCCACTTTGGAACAATATGCCTTCCGTTCCTTCTCCGTTGCCTTGGAAAACATCCCCTTGGCTTTGGCCGAAAACAGTGGTTTACATCCCATTGAAACTTTGTCTGAATTGAAGGCTCGTCAAGTAGCTGAAAACTGTCCCAGCCTAGGTGTTGACTGTATGTTGACCGGAGATTCTAACATGAAGAACCACAATGTTGTTGAATCTCTCAATTCCAAGAAACAACAGATCTTGTTGGCCACTCAATTGGTTAAGATGATTTTGAAAATTGATGATGTACGTTCCAAGAATCAAGGTGGTGATTATTAAGGATTTCCACCGTTTTGTTTGAAGTACATTACAACTTTTATTAATTTTAATTTCATCTATACAAAAAAAAAAAAAATACATTAACCAGCTTTAGGTTGCACTAATTTGTTCAAGTTTCCTCCTTTCATTCATACTTTACTTTCTACTTATTTTTTTCCTCTTTTTTTTGTTTATTACACCATCATTTAACAATATTAAAAGAAAAACTGTATTATTTGTTTGTTCTCTCGAGGGTTGGTTTTTCGCAAGAGAACCCGTCCTTAGAGTTTAAAATAAAAAATTGAAAAACAACATCAAATAAAATTTGTTTTAAAAACATGATTTCGTATATTTATACATTAAAAATTAATTAAAATGCTTAATTCATAAAAATAATAATAAAAAAAACTATCAAAACAATTTATAACTTTTGTTGTTTATTTAAAAAAATTTTACTAGATTGCACTTTAGAGGTTAGAAATAAAATAAATTTTAAAAATTAAAACAAATTGTTGTTGCCGTTATTCTTTGCAACAGGAGAGGTATTAGGAACTTTTAGAAAACTTAAACCTTTTTGCCATTAATCTTGGTCAATTGTTTCTTATTGATTTTATCGAAAAACAGTAAGCCGGCTGCTCGTTCAATCGATTCTGGTGGCACTTGGAATACTTGCAAGGGGGTTTCATCACTTATAACCTGATTGGGCATAACATAAGCCTCCATTTCTAAACGATTATCCGCAGTCTCACCCACTATCACCTTATAGAAGTGGGTAGGCACAGCTACATTGTTATTGCCTATGACCTGATATTTAACATACTTTTTGCCATCATCTTCTTGTTTGGGCAAATACAAGGGACCGGTACAGACATAAACATTGCTATAGGTTTGTGTCAATTTACGCACATAACTTTCCAAACGTTCCCAAGAGTCACGATTGAAACCTTGACCCACCTGAGGAGCCATATTGGTCAAATAGAAAGTGTCATCACAATGTTTTTGATGTCTTTTATGATTGCCGGCCGCCGCCATATGGCCACGATCAAAACCAGAGCGACGATAATCGGAATTTTGTGACTGGAAGTAGGGATGTATACTTTCGTCTGGTTTAAAGTCACATTTGGCTCTGTCAACAGCCTCATTTTTGGCTATAGACTCGGCGGTGAGATGTTCAAATACCCAGGAGGGCACACGATTACGGCGATCATAACTTAACACATAATCCGAATAAGAACGCACTGAATCCAAACTAGGGAAACCATATTTCATGATTTGTGAAACACGCGAGGGAGTAGCAGTTAAATTGACGTCCTCAGCTGGAGCTGGTACCGCAGCTGAAACACTGGCAAATAAGGGAAAGCCGGGTTTTTGGGCATGCTGTAAAATATATTAATTCTTAATAATACAATTCACCAAATTCCTTTAAAATCTCTAATTAACCTTATGCAAGAGTTCCATTTGTTGCTGTTCATAGAGTGGAAGTTTTTGTAAGATTTTCTGTCTTTCCGTATAGCCACCATAGTAATAGGAACCTAAACCAGCAGCGCTGACTGTTAAAGCTGTGGTTATAAACTTTCTATACATTTTAATTGACAATTTAACTTAACAAATTCAAAAAAGAAACAAAATGAAATTCCCCCAAAAAATTACTTAGGCTGTTTACTTTTTTTTATAATCAATGTGAATGAATTTCTAGAAAATCATTCACAATAGACTTATTAAACAGCTGTTATGAGTTTGTCAAAAATGCAACTCCGAAATTTCAGCAAATTTTTCCGAGTCTGAGCAAAAATCCGTTTTTTTTATATGAACTAAGCTTCGAACTTAAGGGTGGGGTATCACAGCAAAATTTACCAGGTGAGGAGTATACTTGTTTGTGTGTCGAACTCAGCAATATTTTCCGGACTCAGCAAAAATTCACAATTTTTGAAGTCCTTGTGATTGATTAAAAATTACTAATTTCAAAATTAAAAAGGAAATAAAAAGTCAATGCTGTTAAATAGCAGGAAATGAAAACTCAAAATGGAACAATTTGAAATTGATCGATTTGACTACGATCGAACAATGTTTTATTATTGATTTTAAACAAGAGCTCACATTCTAATTCTAGTTCAGTTCTAGTTCAGTTTTAGTTCAGTTCTAGTTCTAGTTCAGTTCAGTTCTAGTTCAGTTCTAGTTCAGTTCTAGTTCAGTTCTAGTTCAGTTCTAGTTCAGTTCTAGTTCAGTTCTAGTTCAGTTCTAGTTCAGTTCTAGTGCAGTTCTAGTTCAGTTCTAGTTCAGTTCTAGTTCAGTTCTAGTTCAGTTCTAGTTCAGTTCTAGTTCAGTTCTAGTTCAGTTCTAGTTCAGTTCTAGTTCAGTTCTAGTTCAGTTCTAGTTCAGTTCTAGTTCAGTTCTAGTTCAGTTCTAGTTCAGTTCTAGTTCAGTTCTAGTTCAGTTCTAGTTCAGTTCTAGTTCAGTTCTAGTTCAGTTCTAGTTAAGTTCTAGTTCAGTTCTAGTTAAGTTCTAGTTCAGTTCTAGTTCAGTTCTAGTTCAGTTCTAGTTCAGTTCTAGTTCAGTTCTAGTGCAGTTCTAGTTCAGTTCTAGTTCAGTTCTAGTTCAGTTCTAGTTAGTTCTAGTTCAGTTCTAGTTCAGTTCTAGTTCAGTTCTAGTTCAGTTCTAGTTCAGTTCTAGTTCAGTTCTAGTTCAGTTCTAGTTCAGTTCTAGTTCAGTTCTAGTTCAGTTCTAGTTCAGTTCTAGTTCAGTTCTAGTTCAGTTCTAGTTCAGTTCTAGTTCAGTTCTAGTTCAGTTCTAGTTCAGTTCTAGTTCAGTTCTAGTTCAGTTCTAGTTCAGTTCTAGTTCAGTTCTAGTTCAGTTCTAGTTCAGTTAGTTCTAGTTCAGTTCTAGTTCAGTTCTAGTTCAGTTCTAGTTCAGTTCTAGTTCAGTTCTAGTTCAGTTCTAGTTCAGTTCTAGTTCAGTTCTAGTTCAGTTCTAGTTCAGTTCTAGTTCAGTTCTAGTTCAGTTCTAGTTCAGTTCTAGTTCAGTTTAGTTCAGTTCTAGTTCAGTTCTAGTTCAGTTCTAGTTCAGTTCTAGTTCAGTTCTAGTTCGTTCAGTTCTAGTTCAGTTCTAGTTCAGTTCTAGTTCAGTTCTAGTTCAGTTCTAGTTCAGTTCTAGTTCAGTTCTAGTTCAGTTCTAGTTCAGTTCTAGTTCAGTTCTAGTTCAGTTCTAGTTCAGTTCTAGTTCAGTTCTAGTTCAGTTCTTTAGTTCAGTTCTAGTTCAGTTCTAGTTCAGTTCTAGTTCAGTTCTAGTTCAGTTCTAGTTCAGTTCTAGTTCTAGTTCAGTTCTAGTTCAGTTCTAGTTCAGTTCTAGTTCAGTTCTAGTTAGTTCTAGTTCAGTTCTAGTTCAGTTCTAGTTCAATTCTTGTTCTTTTCTTTCTTAAAATTCTATAGCATAAAATCATTAAATTTTAACTAGTTTTTTTTTATTTTATATTTAAATAATTTTGTTCATAAACCCACTTATTTTTGCATATTTAATATTTTAGTTTTATTGTTACTTAAAAAACCACTCCTTTATTCAAATTACATTGATATTTGCAATTAAATATATAAATATAAGTACTTGTATTTAATTTGCAAAATAAAGTGTCTTTAAACAAAAAAAAAAAAAAAATAGGAAAAAAAAACTCACACAGGTATTAAGTAAAAATAAAATATTACATCATAATGTAACATCATATCCTTTAACATTTTAACCTTTTTACTAACACATAGATATTAAGAACAAATTAAGTTAATACTTATATTTATAACTTGTATATAGAATATTAAAAAGGCTTGGTAACAAAGCAGTTAAACAAATACAAAAAGGAATAATTTAAATTATCTACAACAGTTTAAAACTCACCTGTCTTTTTCATTTAATTCACATTTATTGCCCAATAACATTTTTCAACATCGGCCGATGCATTCTCCTCTATGTTACGTATCCAATTTTTAATATTCTCGAATGATTTCTCTTGAGTTATATCATAGACTAACATAATACCCATGGCGCCTCTATAATATGCGGTGGTAATAGTTCTAAAACGCTCCTGGCCAGCAGTATCCCTATTTTTAAGAAGAAAAATTTTTTTGTACAATTTATGGTTTAGTTGAGTTTTTTTTTGTATTTTCTTTGAAGAACTCACCAAATTTGTAATTTAATTTTTTTGCCATCTAATTCGATTGTTCTAATTTTAAAGTCTATGCCTGTAATGAGGTAAATTGGATAAAATAAATTAGTAATTTTAAGGGAAAATTGGGAAATCTAGTTCAGTTCTAGTTCAGTTCTAGTTCAGTTCTAGTTCAGTTCTAGTTCAGTTCTAGTTCAGTTCTAGTTCAGTTCTAGTTCAGTTCTAGTTCAGTTCTAGTTCAGTTCTAGTTAGTTCTAGTTCAGTTCTAGTTAAGTTCTAGTTCAGTTCTAGTTCAGTTCTAGTTCAGTTCTAGTTCAGTTCTAGTTCAGTTCTAGTTCAGTTCTAGTTCATTCTAGTTCAGTTCTAGTTCAGTTCTAGTTCAGTTCTAGTTCAGTTCTAGTTCAGTTCTAGTTCAGTTCTAGTTCAGTTCTAGTTCAGTTCTAGTTCAGTTCTAGTTCAGTTCTAGTTCAGTTCTAGTTCAGTTCTAGTTCAGTTCTAGTTCAGTTCTAGTTCAGTTCTAGTTCAGTTCTAGTTCAGTTCTAGTTCAGTTCTAGTTCAGTTCTAGTTCAGTTCTATTCAGTTCTAGTTCAGTTCTAGTTCAGTTCTAGTTCAGTTCTAGTTCAGTTATAGTTCAGTTCTAGTTCAGTTCTAGTTCAGTTCTAGTTCAGTTCTAGTTCAGTTCTAGTTCAGTTCTAGTTCAGTTCTAGTTCAGTTCTAGTTCAGTTCTAGTTCAGTTCTAGTTCAGTTCTAGTTCAGTTCTAGTTCAGTTCTAGTTCAGTTCTAGTTCAGTTCTAGTTCAGTTCTAGTTCAGTTCTAGTTCTGTTCTAGTTTAGTTCTAGTTCAGTCTAGTTCAGTTCTAGTTCAGTTCTAGTTCAGTCTAGTTCAGTTCTAGTTCAGTTCTTGTTCAGTTCTAGTTCAGTTCTAGTTCAGTTCTAGTTCAGTTCTAGTTGTTCTAGTTCAGTTCTAGTTCAGTTCTAGTTCAGTTTAGTTCAGTTCTAGTTCAGTTCTAGTTCAGTTCTAGTTCAGTTCTAGTTCAGTTCTAGTTCAGTTCTAGTTCAGTTCTAGTTCAGTTCTAGTTCAGTTCTAGTTCAGTTCTAGTTCAGTTCTAGTTCAGTTCTAGTTCAGTTCTAGTTCTGTTCAAGTTCAGTTCTAGTTCAGTTCTAGTTCAGTTTTCTAGTTCAGTTTCTAGTTCAGTTCTAGTTCTAGTTTTCAGTTCTAGTTCAGTTCTAGTTCAGTTCTAGTTCAGTTAGTTCAGTTCTAGTTCAGTTCTATTTCAGTTCTAGTTCAGTTCTAGTTCAGTTCTAGTTCAGTTCTAGTTCAGTTCTAGTTCAGTTCTAGTTCAGTTCAGTTCTAGTTCAGTTCTAGTGAGTTCTAGTTCAGTTCTAGTTCAGTTCTAGTTCAGTTCTAGTTCAGTTCTAGTTCAGTTCTAGTTCAGTTCTAGTTCAGTTCTAGTTCAGTTCTAGTTCAGTTCTAGTTCAGTTCTAGTTCAGTTCTAGTTCAGTTCTAGTTCAGTTCTAGTTCAGTTCTAGTTCAGTTCTAGTTCAGTTCTAGTTCAGTTCTAGTTCAGTTCTAGTTCAGTTCTAGTTCAGTTCTAGTTCAGTTTCTAGTTCAGTTCTAGTTCAGTTCTAGTTCAGTTCTAGGTTCAGTTCTAGTTCAGTTCTAGTTCAGTTCTAGTTCTGTTCTAGTTTAGTTCTAGTTCAGTTCTAGTTCAGTTCTAGTTCAGTTCTAGTTCATCAGTTCTAGTTCAGTTCTAGTTCAGTTCTTGTTCATTCTAGTTCAGTTCTAGTTTCTAGTTCAGTTTCTAGTTCAGTTCTAGTTCAGTTCTAGTTCAGTTTAGTTCTGTTCTAGTTCAGTTCTAGTTCAGTTCTAGTTCAGTTCTAGTTCAGTTTCTAGTTCAGTTCTAGTTCAGTTCTAGTTCAGTTCTAGTTCAGTTCTAGTTCAGTTCTAGTTCAGTTCTAGTTTCAGTTCTAGTTCAGTTCTAGTTTCATTCTAGTTCAGTTCTAGTTCATTCTAGTTCAGTTCTAGTTCAGTTCTGGTTCAGTTCTAGTTCAGTTCTAGTTCAGTTCTAGTTCTGTTCTAGTTTAGTTCTAGTTCAGTGCTAGTTCAGTTCTAGTTCAGTTCTAGTTCAGTTCTAGTTCAGTTCTAGTTCAGTTCTAGTTCAGTTCTAGTTCAGTTCTTGTTCAGTTCTAGTTCAGTTCTAGTTTCTAGTTCAGTTCTAGTTCAGTTCTAGTTCAGTTCTAGTTCAGTTCTAGTTCAGTTCTAGTTCAGTTCTAGTTCAGTTCTAGTTCAGTTCTAGTTCTGTTCTAGTTCAGTTCTAGTTCAGTTCTAGTTCAGTTCTAGTTCAGTTCTAGTTCAGTTCTAGTTCAGTTCTTAGTTCAGTTCTAGTTCAGTTCTAGTTCAGTTCTAGTTCAGTTCTAGTTCAGTTCTAGTTCAGTTCTAGTTCAGTTCTAGTTCAGTTCTAGTTCAGTTCTAGTTCAGTTCTAGTTCAGTTCTAGTTCAGTTCTAGTTCAGTCTAGTTCAGTTCTAGTTCGTTCGATTCAGTTCTAGTTCAGTTCTAGTTTCAGTTCTAGTTCAGTTCTAGTTCGTTCTAGTTCAGTTCTTGTTCAGCTTCTAGTCCAGTTCATGGTCTGTGTTATGGGCCTAGTATGGTCCACAGTCTGGACATTAGACTAGTCTGTTGTCTATAATCTGAACTATAATCTATATTATAATCTAAACTATAATCTACATTATAATCAGAACTATTGTTTAGTCAATTATTTTTCTCTGCCTAATCTGTAGTCTGAACTATAGTATATATTATAGTCTGTAGTAGGCGGGTGCCACATCCTCAAACAAATAAGTATTACAAGTCGCATATCTCAGAAACTGCAACAGCTAGAGCACTTAAATTTCGAGAAATGCGAGCCCATCCGTATGAACACTTGCGGACAAAATATGGTTATTCCTCCTCTTCCATATAATGAAAATCTGGACCACAGTATATCGATAGTTTGTTCCCAGGTTTTTGTTTATCATATACATATTTTGCTTAAAAATCACGCTATCGTCAGCATTTTTCTTACATACTAGAAATATTTGTTACAAATTCACGAGATCTATTAATTCCTTTAAAATTCCTCTAAGTAAAATGAAAAGCTGCCAAAAAGAAACAAAAACATACATCATTTTTTGTACAGTGTATGGATCCCTTCAAAGAAAACGTCACAGAAAAAAAAACGAAGAAAAAGATAAAAACAAATTAAACAACAATAAAGAAAAATGCATCAATCTTTATACACACACACAAACACTTGCATTCATAAAACAAACAACAACTTTTTGATCAATTAAAAAAAGCAACAAAAAAAGGAAAATAAGAGAAAAACAATAAAAATATGAGACAATGATGGTCTTTTATGCAAACTTATAAAGAAAATAAAAAAACACAAAACAAATTAATAAAAACTAATAAAAAAAAAGCGCGCAGTTTTCTTTAGAATTTTTTGACTATTACATTTAAATAAAGGAATTTCTATTAGTTTTTTTTTTCAAAAACATTTCGAACAATTTAATTGTAACTATTTGAGGGATAGAAGGGGAAATAAAAAGAGAAGATGGTTTGAGGTTGTGGAGATGAAAAAAAATGTGAGTCATTTGCAATGTGTTCAAATTTATTTTAGAAGAGAGTTATAAACAGAGGGAGCGAGAGAGTAAATAAAGAGGAAATTATAAATAAAGAAAATATGAACAAAAAATTTATAAGAATTACTTTTCTTTTATTAATTTTAATTTTATAATATAATAAAAAAGGGGGATTAATATTAAAGTTAAACAAACAACAAAATCTAAGACTCAAAAGGAAAGAAAAAAATGATGATGATGACTGTTAGCAGCAGTTGTGTAGTGATTAAAATTATCAAGACAACGTCAACAAAAAACTATATGCATGAACATACCAACACCCCAAAACCTTTAATGCCTTCAGCAGCTCTAAATCACAACTAAAAATACCTTCTGTTTGGAACTAAAATGAAACAAGGGAAATATTAACCCAAATAAAACGAAGATGTTTTCCTAAACGCAAGGTGTCTGCAAACTAAACAAAAAAAAATGTGTATTTTTAGCCTTAACACAATGAGGACAGGCAATAAAAAATTTGTTAAAATTTATTCCTACAAAGAGGTTTTTATCTTCAAACTATAATTTTTTATTATTAAATAGACTTTGACTTTGGGTTCCCTAACTTTGACACAGCCACCAACCAACCACATAATAATAGCAAAATCAAACGAAAACGACTACCGACCAACCAACCAAATGACCCCTCCTTTCTCCTCTCTTTTTACAACAACAACAAAGTAATACTTTTATCAATATCATATTTTCTTTAAATAATTGTAGACGTTTTTCCGACTAATTTTTTCCTCCTTCCACACCAGCCAACTTACCTATTGTCGAAATAAATGTTGTATTGAAGGCATCCTCCGAAAAACGAAATAATATACAAGTTTTTCCTACGCCAGAATCACCAATTAGCAATAATTTAAATAAATAATCGTACGTCTTGGCCATTGTTGTTTCTTTTTTCTTTAACGCGTCGTTTATTACTGTTTTATTTTTTTTTCCAAATTTCTTAATATATAGAAATTTCTTTAGTTATATTCTTTTTAATTTTTCTGTATCAAAATTTTGTATTTTATACTTCTTTTGTAGCTAAAAAATCAAATTTTATTTAAAGTTTTTTTCTTCCTTCTTTCTTCTCTCTACTTTTGCTACGATTGTCGTATAAAATAAAATACTTAAAATCGTTGATGACAAAATCTACTCTATAAAAAAATGTCTACAAAACAAAGCTGCCACATGGCAGACATATTTAAAATTGCCAAATAATAGCAGAAAAATTACCAATCATATGGTTAACATGGTTAAATCGTGAAATTTGTGAAACAATTATAAAAAAAAACAAATTTGTTTTTAAAATTTTTAATACAACTCTTAATAATAAGCATTTTTAAAAGAAATAAAAGCATATGAAACTAAAAATCACCCTAAATAATAAAAGTTATAAAACTGTTTTACCATAAATTTTATTTAATTTCTTTGCTAAATTAAATAAACCTATAGAAAAATCATTAATGTAACTAAATAACCTTAAAACGCCTTTAATATTTAGTACAAATCTGCAAGAAATATTTTAAGCTTTTCTTTACTTCAGATAAGTTTAAGAAACAGCAAAATTTGTCTTATTAAAACTTTCCAAATTATTTTAAATTATTTTAAATCATTGAATTAAATTTTAATAATAATTATAAATTTCCCCACACCGGGGATACAATGTGTAAAAGTCTGGTAACACGTCCCTTGAACAGATTATCGATAAATTAGTGCTGTTCCTTCAACGATTGCATTTTTCTATAGGGAGTTGCCATACCTTGAACAAAATAGCCACGTTCTACGTTTTTTTCTGACATTTTATAAATGAAATATAAAGGAACGAAGAGACAATTGAAACGTAATAATATTTATTAAAATTTTCTCAAAATAGAACTGATAATTATATAATTATTTTTATATAATTAGATATTTTATACAGATAAATGTTAAGTATAACAGTTCTTTTAACAAAAACGTTCAAAATAACAAATTTTTATATCAAAATCTTTCAGTATAACAGTTTATTATATAACAGATTGTTTGAATAACAGTATAGAATATTTTTATTAAACTGTGTTCATAGAAAACATTATGTATAATAGGTTTTTATTTGAAAAAAAAAAAAATATATAATTAATATATTTTTAGATAAAACTTAAGTACTTATGTATAACAGTTCTTCTAAAAACATATTTTAGAATAACAAAATTTTTGTAACAAAAACTTTCAGTATAACGTTTATTATATAACATATATTTTGAATAGTATAAAAGATTTTTTTTAAACAGGTTTTTATCTAAATATGTTAAGTATAAGAGTTTTTTGCACTATATAATATGTATATGATTTTTTTTTACTGTAGAACTATTCAGTAATTTTAATAGATCAGTTTTTTAATAGATCAGTTTTTTCTTTAGAAGTATTTTTTATAACAGTTATAAACTATTTTTAATACATTATTATTATTATTATTATTATTATTATTATTATTATTATTATTATTATTATTATTATTATTATTATTATTATTATTATTATTATTATTATTATTTCTATAGAAAATTTTCAGTATAACAGTTTATTATATAAAAGATTTGTTATATAAGAGTTTTGCTATAGAAGATGTTTATTAAACAGTTTTGTAAGAATTGTTTTTATGGAAAACATTAGTTTTTTACTGTTAGTTTTTTATTTTATTATGTATAGTATATGAGATTTTTTACTGTAATAAAATTCTGCTATAGAAGATGTTTATTAAACATTTTCAGGAAAAACATTTAGCATAACAGTTTTTTATTTTAATATATTAATTTATTTTACTATATAACGGTTTTTCTAGTATTTAATTTATATATAATATTGCACTTTTCCACCCCTGTTTTGCTTGCAATCGCTAGTTCATTATTTTAAAACAAAACATTTCTTTCTGTGTATGTTTATCGATTTTAACTTAATGTTCGATAATTTCTTAATATCTCTATTAGAATTGTTATTACTATACATATTAACATTTTATATAACAACAAAACTTAAGATAACGAATTAGATAAGATTTAAACAATGCCAAAAAATATTATCTTTTCCATCAAAAGAAATCATTCCACTTTTCACACAAAAAAATCTTCATCTGGCAGCACTAAAGGTTGTAAATCAATTATCACATTACACTGGCATCATTGTTCCCATCATTGTCATTGTTATTCTATTTCTTTTTGTGCAGTTGGAAAAAAGTCATAAGATTTTACAAAAGAATTTTCAGAATTTTCCTTAAATTTAACACAAATAAAATACCGTGAATTGAAGAAAATAATGTGAGATAAATTTAAAGAAGTAACTAAAAGAATATAAGATAATAAAAAGTGTTGAAAATGTTTATGAAAACGTTAAAAAACCCACAAAATTAATTAAGAAGAGGCAACTTGGTTGGGTTGAGAAAAGAAAATATTAAAAAAAAATTAAAACAGAAACAGACGTCGTAGTATTGTAACACCTTTTTTGTAAACTGCTAATAAAGCAGTTTTATTAATTATTTTTCAAACTGTTTATAAAAGTGTGAGTGCCTATAAGTGAATATAGTGTAGACAAGTAGAGAGTGTGGTGGTGTCGTCGCTTTTGGAATTCCATTGCAGTTTGCTAAGAGTGCAGGCCAGCAGGCAGGCAGGCAGACACCCCACTTTGAAACATCCATTAACATTTGGTTTTATAAACAACTTCGTACATTATGGGTGCCAAAGAATCCAAACAGTCCTGCATTAATTATGAGGATGCAGTCAAACGTGGTAAGTGGAAATTTCCTTCTATTACATCTTTATGTAAATATAATAATTGTAATAAATTTTCTTTATTTTTTGCTTAACATTGGGTGGGAGTTTTTTTTCGCTTTTTTTATAGACAAAAGAGAGGGGAAAGAGTAAGAGGAGGGGTCATTGAAATAGGTTATTTTGCCTTAAAAAGAGTTCTTTTCTTTTTATCGATTGTTGTTTTCTTTTTTGTGCTTTTTCGTATTTTCTAAAAGTGTGTTTTTTTTTGGTATTGTTTTTGTTTTCTATTTTTTATTTAATCATTTTATAGATTACCTTATAAAAAGTTATTAAAAATAAAGTTTTTTTACTTGTAAATTATTGTGAAATGTTTGTTTTTGTTGTTGTTATATTTTAGGGTTTTTTTTTTATTTTTTGCCTTTTTGTTATTGTTTTTTTTTGTTCTCATTTGTAGAAAATTCTCTTGTATTTTCAGTTAATCCTTCAATTGTGTGTTTTGTTGCCATTTCTTTTTTGTGACGTCACAAAAGAAATTGCTTTATTTTCTTTTTCAAGATGTGAGAACTTTTCAGACATTTATTTGTTTTGTTAGAAAACTTGTAATAATGAAAAAAAAAAAACATGAAAGAAACACAATTTAGCAAAGACACAAACCAGTTTATTTTTTAAGGCAGAGAGTTAAAAGTGTCAATTCATGTACGAATGACAAAGGCACAAAATACAAACTATAGTTTATTTTTACTTACATTTCGAGTTCAGTTCTATTTAAGTTCTAGTTCAGTTCTAGTTCAGTTCTAGTTCAGTTCAGTTCAGTTCTAGTTCAGTTCTAGTTCAGTTCTAGTTCAGTCTAGTTCAGTTCTAGTTCAGTTCTAGTTCAGTTCTAGTTCAGTTCTAGTTCAGTTCTAGTTCAGTTCTAGTTCAGTTCTAGTTCAGTTCTAGTTCAGTTCTAGTTCAGTTCTAGTTCAGTTCTAGTTCAGTTCTAGTTCAGTTCTAGTTCAGTTCTAGTTCAGTTCTAGTTCTTCTAGTTCAGTTCTAGTTCAGTTCTAGTTCAGTTCTAGTTCAGTTCTAGTTCAGTTCTAGTTCAGTTCTAGTTCAGTTCTAGTTCAGTTCTAGTTCAGTTCTAGTTCAGTTTTAGTTCAGTTCTAGTTCTATCACTCTTCTAGTTCAGTTCTAGTTCAGTTCTAGTTCAGTTTAGTTCAATTCTAGTTCAGTTCTAGTTCAGTTCCAGATCAGTTTTAGTTCAGTTCTAGTTCAATTCTAGTTCAGTTCTAGTTCAGTTCTAGTTCAGTTCTAGTTCAGTTCTAGTACAGTTCTAGTTCACTTCTAGTTCGGTTCTAGTTCTAGTTCAGTTCTAGTTCAGTTCTAGTTCAGTTCTAGTTCAGTTCTAGTTCAGTTCTAGTTCAGTTCTAGTTCAGTTCTAGTTCAGTTCTAGTTCAGTTCTAGTTCAGTTCTAGTTCAGTTCTAGTTCAGTTCTAGTTCAGTTCTAGTTCAGTTCTAGTTCAGTTCTAGTTCAGTTCTAGTTCAGTTCTAGTTTAGTTCTAGTTTAGTTCTAGTTCAGTTCTAGTTCAGTTCTTTCAGTTCTAGTTCAGTTCTAGTTCAGTTCTAGTTCAGTTCTAGTTCAGTTCTAGTTCAGTTCTAGTTCAGTTCTAGTTCAGTTCTAGTTCAGTTCTAGTTCAGTTCTAGTTCAGTTCTAGTTCAGTTCTAGTTCAGTTTAGTTCAGTTCTAGTTCAGTTCTAGTTCAGTTCTAGTTCAGTTCTAGTCAGTTCTAGTTCAGTTCTAGTTCAGTTCTAGTTCAGTTCTAGTTCAGTTCTAGTTCAGTTCTAGTTCAGTTCTAGTTCAGTTCTAGTTCAGTTCTAGTTCAGTTCTAGTTCAGTTCTAGTTCAGTTCTAGTTCAGTTCTAGTTCAGTTCTAGTTCAGTTCTAGTTCAGTTCTAGTTCAGTTCTAGTTCAGTTCTAGTTCAGTTCTAGTTCAGTTCTAGTTCAGTTCTAGTTCAGTTCTAGTTCAGTTCTAGCTCAGTTCTAGTTCAGTTCTAGTTCAGTTCTCGTTCAGTTCTAGTTCAGTTCTAGTTCAGTTCTAGTTCAGTTCTAGTTCAGTTCTAGTTCAGTTCTAGTTCAGTTCTAGTTCAGTTCTAGTTCAGTTCTAGTTCAGTTCTAGTTCAGTTCTAGTTCAGTTCTAGTTCAGTTCTAGTTCAGTTCTAGTTCAGTTCTAGTTCAGTTCTAGTTCAGTTCTAGTTCAGTTCTAGTTCAGTTCTAGTTCAGTTCTAGTTCAGTTCTAGTTCAGTTCTAGTTCGTTCAGTTCTAGTTCAGTTCTAGTTCAGTTCTAGTTCAGTTCTAGTTCAGTTCTAGTTCAGTTCTAGTTCAGTTCTAGTTCAGTTCTAGTTCAGTTCTAGTTCAGTTCTAGTTCAGTTCTAGTTCAGTTCTAGTTCAGTTCTAGTTCAGTTCTAGTTCAGTTCTAGTTCAGTTCTAGTTCAGTTCTGTTCAGTTCTAGTTCAGTTCTAGTTCAGTTCTAGTTCAGTTCTAGTTCAGTTCTAGTTCAGTTCTAGTTCAGTTCTAGTTCAGTTCTAGTTCAGTTCTAGTTCAGTTCTAGTTCAGTTCTAGTTCAGTTCTAGTTCAGTTCTAGTTCAGTTCTAGTTCAGTTCTAGTTCAGTTCTAGTTCAGTTCTAGTTCATAGTTCAAGTTCTAGTTCAGTTCTAGTTCAGTTCTAGTTCAGCTCTAGTTCAGTTCTAGTTCAGTTCAGTTCTAACATTGCAAAAATTAAAATTTAATTAAACATTTAATAATGCAGTAAGTGTCATCGACTTTAGCAAATAAAACACGTTTTTACAATAATTTCTTAGAATTTTTATGTTTCTCATAATTTATCTTTTTTAGAATATTTTTCGTCATCGATACGTTTTGCTCTAATAAACTATAGATGTAAATTTAATAAATTTTCTATATCTCTAGTCTGCGTCGGTGATACTTTACTAATACAACAATAATAACAACTGCAAACCACTTGAAATGTTTAAGCAAATAAATGAAAAATGAAATAACATTTGTAAAAAAATAAAGGCAACAGATTTAGAAATAAAACAATAAATAAATTACACTTTTTTAAAAAAAAAAAGTACAAATAATTTATAGATAAGATTTTGTGCAAGTGAATCATAAATTTATATTTTATTAAAAGGATTAATTGATGATTTTTGCCCTTAGTTTCCGAATCCGAATTAAGACGTTTGAAAGAGGCTTTTAAGAAATCAGCAGGTGTGGGACGTTTCTATTTAAGTCGTAATGCATTCCAACAAGATGTCTTGTGTGAAGGTGTACCACCAAATGTAACAGATTTACTTTATACCGCTTGTGGTGGTACCACAAAAGGTATATCATTTAAAGATCTTTTATGTGGTTTAGTTTTAATAACACGCGGTACTGAAGAAGAGAAAACCAAGTGAGTTTTGTTGTTTTATGTTTAATAGAAAATTTTTTTTGATTTTTTTAACTCTTTCTATAGGTTTCTTTGGAATCTATATTGCAATGATAATGGCACTTATATTTTAAAAGCCGATTTTACCAAGGCTATTAGTTTACATCCCTACGAAAGTGTTTCTTTGTTTTCCCAAACAGATCGCATCAATTTTGAACAATTTCAGGCCTGGATTTTAAAAAATCGTTCTTCTACCGTTTTATCGAAATGGTTATTATCTGATAATTGTATAAGCTTGACTTCAGAGCTAGAAACACCCACATTTTATCAAAGTTTAGCGGGTGTAACACATTTGGAAGAAAAGGTTTGTGACTAGAGTAATCTAATAGAGAATGAATTGAAAATTTTATAAAATTGTATCCTAAATAGGATATAGGCGATTTGGAGAAAGAGTTTTGGCGTTTAAAGAACTCCTCACCCAATGGTCAATTGGATCTGCAGTTACTGGGGCCCTTATTAAGTCCTCCCATACCAAAAAATGCTTTACAAGGTCTCTTTAATGCTTTTGATGAAAATCGTGATGGTCATATTGATTTTAAGGAACTGTGTTGTGGTGTCAGTGCTGCTTGTCGTGGACCGGGAGTAGAACGCACCAGATGTAAGTGTTTTTTATTTTAAAACTAATTTATATTAAATTTTATTTCCTATTACTCACAGTTTGTTTCAAAATCTTTGATGTGGATCGTGATGGTATTCTTAACCATTTTGAAACTTTACAAATGATAAATGTTCTATTATTTGTGGCCAAAGAAAATCGTAATGCTAACATGTACAAAGATATAACTAAACAAGAAGCTTTAAAAGATATTGTTAATTTTACCACTTTAAAAAGTGTGGATAACCAAAATATGGTAAGTACTTTCTTTAAAATTATTTTTTTAATCTTTGATTTAAATCATTTCCTTTCCAGGACTCTTTGACATTAGAAAATTTAAATGTCAATTTGAGAGCTGAAGATTTTATGATGTGGAATGTTAAGAGCAGTTTGAAATTATTACAACCATTTCTAGATTGATATTTGAAGTTTGTCATATAGTATTTGGTTTATGGCCTCAATGTCGTCATATGGAATATGATATTGGTAAGTTGAATTTATAGATAAAAGATCGATTCAGTTCAAGTTGAGTTCTAGTTCAGTTCAGTTCCATGTCAGTTCTAGTTCAGTTCAGTATGTCAGTTCTAGTTCAGTTCTAGTTCAGTTCTAGTTCAGTTCAGTTCTAGTTCAGTTCTAGTTCTAGTTCAGTTGTTCTAGTTCAGTTCTAGTTCAGTTCTAGTTCAGTTCTAGTTCAGTTCTAGTTCAGTTCTAGTTCAGTTCTAGTTCAGTTCTAGTTCAGTTCTAGTTCAGTTCTAGTTCAGTTCTAGTTCAGTTCTAGTTCAGTTCTAGTTCAGTTTAGTTCAGTTCTAGTTCAGTTCTAGTTCAGTTCTAGTTCAGTTCTAGTTCTAGTTCAGTTCTAGTTCAGTTCTAGTTCAGTTCTAGTTCAGTTCTAGTTCAGTTCTAGTTCAGTTGTAGTTCAGTTGTAGTTCAGTTCTAGTTCAGTTCTAGTTCAGTTCTAGTTCAGTTCTAGTTCAGTTCTAGTTCAGTTCTAGTTCAGTTCTAGTTCAGTTCTAGTTCAGTTCTAGTTCAGTTTTAGTTCAGTTCTAGTTCAGTTCTAGTTCAGTTCTAGTTCAGTTCTAGTTCAGTTCTAGTTCAGTTCTAGTTCAGTTCTAGTTCAGTTCTAGTTCGTTCAGTTCAGTTCTAGTTCAGTTCTAGTTCAGTTCTAGTTCAGTTCTAGTTCAGTTCTAGTTCGTTCTAGTTCAGTTCTAGTTCAGTTCTAGTTCAGTTCTAGTTCAGTTCTAGTTCAGTTCTAGTTCAGTTCTAGTTCAGTTTCTAGTTCAGTTCTAGTAGCTAGTTTCGTTCTAGTTCAGTTCTAGTTCAGTTCTAGTTCAGTTCTAGTTCAGTTTCCCTAGTTCAGTTAGTTCAGTTCTGGTTCAGTTCTAGTTCAGTTCTAGTTCAGTTCTAGTTCAGTTCTAGTTCAGTTCTAGTTCAGTTCTAGTTCAGTTCTAGTTCAGTTTCTAGTTCAGGTTCTAGTTAGTTCTAGTTCAGTTCTAGTTCAGTTCTAGTTCAGTCTAGTTCAGTTCTTAGTTCAGTTTCTAGTTCAGTTCTAGTTCAGTTCTAGTTCAGTTCTAGTTCAGTTCTAGTTCAGTTCTAGTTCAGTTCTAGTTCAGTTCTTTCAGTTCTAGTTCAGTTCTAGTTCAGTTCTAGTTCAGTTCTAGTTCAGTTCTAGTTCAGTTCTAGTTCAGTTCTAGTTCAGTTCTAGTTCAGTTCTAGTTCAGTTCTAGTTCAGTTCTAGTTCAGTTCTAGTTCAGTTCTAGTTCAGTTCTAGTTCAGTTCTAGTTCAGTTCTAGTTCAGTTCTTTCAGTTCTAGTTCAGTTCTAGTTCAGTTCTAGTTCAGTTCTAGTTCAGTTCTAGTTCAGTTCTAGTTCAGTTCTAGTTCAGTTCTAGTTCAGTTCTAGTTCAGTTCTATTTCTGGTCCTGTTCTAGATTAGTTTTATCTTTTAAAAATCTTTCCTTCATTTTACAGTAAGAGGCTGGTTAGACCGTGAGGAAAAACGCAAATATCGTGTAGGACAATTTTGGTATTTAATTTCTCGAGATTGGTGGATAACCTGGCTGCAATATGTCAACAATATCTCAACGACCTGTGAATACTGTAGACATACAGGGGCACAACAACGACAATCCAACTACAATTGTGGCATAGACGAGGCTTTGGTATGTGATGAATCGTTTAATACCAACTCCTTGGATTCCGTGGGTGTTGAAGTCTGTATAACCAGCGATAACTGTAGTATGGGTAAATATTTCCTTACTTTTCATAATAATATCTCTATTAATTGAATAAAATTTATTTTTAAGGTTCCGCAAGTAGTGGTATTTCCACGGGACGTAATCTAGGTTGTCGTCCCGGTGCCATAGATAATACTAATCTAGTAACACCAAATCCTTTTAAGAATATACGCACTTTAACCGGTGAGGGTGGTCATTTGAAACGTGATACTCCTTTAGTACAAAATCATGATTTTGAATTGGTTCCCAAGTCTTTGTGGAAAGCTTTAAATCGTTGGTATGGTGATAATTTACCTTTGCCACGACAGGTTATACAACCGCCTAATACCTCGGAAGTTGAGCTAGAATTGTATCCTTTAAATGTGCGTATTTTATTGCATCAAAGTGTGCCACAAAATCAAACAGCTAATAGTTGGGGTGCAGTACCGGGTAAGTGAAAAATTTTAACTAAATATTTAATAGTAAATGATTTTCTAAAATTATACATGTGAACGCACAATTACACAGTTTTTCTCTTAAATTGTGTATGTGTGAACGTAGCAAAAGAATTTATAGAGAAAACTGCTTAGCAAGCTAATTCTATTGAAAATTATGGCCTTGTAAACACGACCAACATAGTTTCAGATAAAATTAAGTATGAACACAGACAACAATTTTGTATGAAAACTGTGCTTGAATGAACGTAGCAAACAATTTCTTTATAGAAAACTGGGTTGGTGTGAACACAACATTTTTTAGAGAAAATTTTATATGTATGAACGCAGCATACATTTTTCTATAAAAAAAAACTGTCCGTATGTGTGTAAACACATTTATTCTATCATGCGTGTGAACACATTAAAAAATTTAAGAGAAAATCATTTCTTTATGAACTCAGCAGATATTTTTTGGGAAAATTGTTTATAAAACTGTAAATATATAGAGAATTCTGTTTGTTTGAACGCTACATACAATTTTCTACAGAAAATTCTGTTTTTGTAAACATATTAAGAAATTTTCGATAAAAACTAAGTGAGTGTGAATACAGCAAACATTTTTTTCATATAATACTATGAGACTGTGTGGAAACAGACAACATTTTCAAAGAAAACTGTTTATGTGTGAACACAACAAACTATTTTCTGTACGAAACTTTGTCTGTGTGAACACATTAATAAATTTTGTTATGAAAATATATCTATGTTAACGCGTAGCAAACAATTTTATTATATAAAACTATGTCTGTGTAAACACAGCAAACTATTGAAAATATTGTCCGTGTAAACGGAGCAATTAACTTTTTTATAGAAAATTGCATATGGTTGAATGCAGCAACCTATTTTTTTTAGAGAAACTATTGTGTGAACCAGCAAATTTCTATAGAAAATTTGTGTGTATTATAAAATATAATTACTGATTTTTTGTTGCGTAGGTGGCTATTTGATTTTTGTGGCTATGGCTATTTTATTAGTGCGAAAAAAAAATTTCATATAATACTATGAGACTGTGTGAAACAGTCCAACATTTTCAAAAAGGAAAACTGTTTAAGTGTGAACACAGCAAACTATTTGCTGTAGGAAACTGTGTTGTCTGTGTGAACACAATAATAAATTTGTTATTAAAATTATAACTGTGTTAAGCGTAGCAAACAATTTTATTATATAAAACTATGTCTGTGTAAACACAGCAACTATTGAATATATTGTCCGTGTAAACGAGAGCAAATAAACTTTTTATAGAAAATTGCATATGTTTGACATGCAGCAACCCTATTTTTTTAGAGAAAACTATATGTGGGAACGCAGCCTACAAAGTTCTATAGAAAACTGTTACCGTGTGAACGCAGCAAACAATTTTCTAATAGAAAATAATTGCCAATTAATGATTTTTTTGATTGGTTTTTAGGTGGCTATGGTGTTTTAGCTTCTGGTGGAGGTTTTGCGGCCATTTCCGCTTCCAGTGTTTTGCAGCCACCTAAACGTTATCTGGCCTATACCGCAGCCTTTAGTCGTTTAGCTACTGTACAGCAAATAGGCAATTTTCTTTGTGAACAATTACGTCTACGTTCCGAAGACATACGTTTGTGGCATATACCAGCTGGTCCTTTAGATAATACGGCCATTTTATTGGAAGAAGATAATGTCACACTAAAAGAATTAATGATCAAGGATAATGATCAAATTTTGTTGGAAATACGTAATAAAGATCAAACTTGGCCGGAGGAATTGAGTTCTTTGTCTTTAACACAAACGGGAGTAACGGCATTAAACGATCGACGTTTAACAAGATCCTCTATAATGTCTGTACAGGCCCCCGGAGCTACAGGTTTACATAATTTGGGAAATACTTGTTTTATGAATGCTGCTCTACAGGTTTTATTTAATACACAACCATTAGCTCAGTATTTTCGTCATAATATGCATATGTTTGAGCTAAATACCACCAATAAGTTGGGCACTAGAGGTTATTTAGCCACTAGATATGGAGAGTTATTAAAAGAAGTCTGGAGTGCTACCACTAGATCGGTGGCTCCTATAAAATTACGGTTGTGTGTTACAAGGTATGCTCCCCAGTTTGCGGGAGGCGGACAGCATGATTCTCAAGAATTATTAGAGTGGCTGTTAGATGCTTTACATGAAGATCTTAATCGGGTAATGGAGAAACCCTATAGTGAATTAAAGGACTCTAATGGAAGGCCAGATAAAATTGTGGCGGCCTGAGGCTTGGCAGCAGCATCATGCACGCAATCAATCTATTATCATAGATCTATTCTATGGCCAATTGAAATCTAAAGTGAGTTGTATGTGCTGTGGCCGGGAATCGGTGCGTTTTGATCCCTTCAGTTTATTAAGTTTACCTTTGCCGGTAGAGAATTATATATACTTTGAGGTTTTGGGTAAGTTTGAGGGAGATTTTACCAGACTTTTTTTATTTACATCTAATCAAACTTGTTTTACTCTTACAGTCATATTATTAGATGGTTCGGTGCCTATCAAATATGGTTTACGTTTAAATTCAGAATCCAAGTATTACGATTTAAAACGTAAACTAGCCTCTTTGTGTTATTTAAATCCTAATTTTATGTTAATCTGTGAAGTTTGGAATTCCCAAATTCGACACTCATTTCCCGACGAAGAGAAAATTAAACCTTCTTCAGCCAAAGAACTATATGTCTATCAATTACCCGAAGAATGTGCCGATCGTTCGAGATCAAGTTCTACTTTGGGTATTAACATAGAAAAAGGTTTAAAAGATATACAAAGAAGTTCAGGTATATACGAAAAACTCTCACAAAACTAAAATACATATCATTCCTAAAATAATGTTTAAAATTTCAGCCATGTTAACAGCTTATGATTCATATTCTTCCTTGACTTTATTAAATACTACTAACGCTACAAATACAACTAATAGTTCATCTAATAATCAAATAAATTCCATAAATAATCTTAATACAGAAGGCATTGAACATCATCAATTACATCACACACAACAGCAGCAGCAGCAACATTCTTTTGATGATACAACACTGCCAACACAGCAACAACAAACCTCGTTTACAAATTCTCTAGCAACAACAACAACTAATATACCGGCTGCAACTTCCACACGATCGCAGCAACAACATCATAATAATTTCGAGAATATACGTTGTAATATGTCACTGGCCGATGACGATGATGATGAAACTGAAGACGATGATGTACATGTCGCAACGAAGGTAAGGCGGTGCTTTGGAAACACTATGTGCATGCCCCAGAATTTATTATGCTTCAAGGTATGGCTACTATTTTAAGGCAAAATAACACATTTATGTATTTAATATTGTCTCTTTTAAGAATATTGACATTTACTTCTCTTTACTCTTGTTTTTTTTTCAATACTCTCTCAAACATTTGTAAATGTAAGAAAGTAGAGAATTTGACAATTCTCTTTATTTTAAATGTTAATGATGCGATTAGAATTAAAAGGAGTTTTAGTGAAAATTCGCAAACTTCAATTTTAGTTCAGTTCTAGTTCAGTTCTAGTTCTAGTTTAGTTCTAGTTCAGTTCTAGTTCAGTTCTAGTTCAGTTCTAGTTCTAGTTCAGTTCTAGTTCAGTTCTAGTTCAGTTCTAGTTCAGTTCTAGTTCAGTTCTAGTTCAGTTCTAGTTCAGTTCTAGTTCAGTTCTAGTTCAGTTCTAGTTCAGTTCTAGTTCAGTTCAGTTCTAGTTCAGTTCTAGTTCAGTTCTAGTTCAGTTCTAGTTCAGTTCAGTTCTAGTTCAGTTCTAGTTCAGTTCTAGGTCATTTCTAGTTCAATTCTAGTTCAGTTCTAGTTCAGTTCTAGTTCAGTTCTAGTTCAGTTCTAGTTCAGTTCTAGTTCAGTTCTAGTTCAGTTCTAGTTCAATTCTAGTTCAGTTCTAGTTCAGTTCTAGTTCAGTTCTAGTTCAGTTCTAGTTCAGTTCTAGTTCAGTTCTAGTTCAGTTCTAGTTCAGTTCTAGTTCAGTTCTAGTTCAGTTCTAGTTCAGTTCTAGTTCAGTTCTATTTCAGTTCTAGTTCAGTTCTAGTTCAGTTCTAGTTCAGTTCTAGTTCAGTTCTAGTTCAGTTCTAGTTCAGTTCTAGTTCAGTTCTAGTTCAGTTCTAGTTCAGTTCTAGTTCAGTTCTAGTTCAGTTCTAGTTCAGTTCTAGTTCAGTTCTAGTTCAGTTCTAGTTCAGTTCTAGTTCAGTTCTAGTTCAGTTCTAGTTCAGTTCTAGTTCAGTTCTAGTTCAGTTCTAGTTCAGTTCTAGTTCAGTTCTAGTTCAGTTCTAGTTCAGTTCTACTTCAGTTCTAGTTCAGTTCTAGTTCATTTCTATTTCAATTCTAGTTCAGTTCTAGTACAGTTCTAGTTCAGTTCTAGTTCAGTTCTAGTTCAGTTCTACTTCAGTTCTAGTTCAGTTCTAGTTCAGTTCTAGTTCAGTTCTACTTCAGTTCTAGTTCAGTTCTAGTTCAGTTCTATTTCAATTCTAGTTCAGTTCTAGTACAGTTCTAGTTCAGTTCTAGTCCAGTTCTAGTTCTCTTCTAGATTTTCAGTTTTTACTATTTCTTCTTTGTTGCATCATTAATATTTAATTACTTTCTTTACCGACATTTACATATTGTTGTTGTTTTATTTGAAAACGCAATATTGTATAGGCTTTGCTGTCTGTCATTGTGTGCCAAAAGAAAAAAACCTTAAAAAAAATAACGCAAAATACGCAATTCTGTTAATATTAGCCAATATATTTGTTAAATAAGCTAAAGACAAACCAAGTGCCTTTTACAAAATATCTGGAAGTTTAACTACATTTTTCCAAAAAAAAACACAAATTTTTGGCAAAAGAATGTTTTTCATTTCTTTCCTTTAACCGACGTAAATATTAAATACAAAATCTGTTTTAAAAAAAGCAATACCTTCTTTAAAAAAACTTATTTAATTTGTAGTGGTTTTGGTTGTAAAAATTGTATAGAATTTTGTTAAATTAGTTTTGAGTTTTTTCTTATATTTTTTCTTTAATTTGAAACAATAATGAGCGATTAAGAATAAAGAAGTGATGTACAACATGTCATGAAAATTTCATCATTTTGTGAACAACTTTTCTATAGAAAAGTTCATCATTTTGTGAACAACTTTTCTATAGATAAGTTCCTTATAATATGAACAACTTTTCTTTAGAAAAGCTCTTTATAATGTGAACAACTTTTCTTTAGAAAATTTCTTTATAATGTGAACCACTTTTCTATAGAAAAGTTCCTTATAAAGTGAACAACTTTTCTATAGAAAAGTTCATCATTTTGTGAACAACTTTTCTAGAGAAAAGTTCATCATTTTGTGAACAACTTTTCTAGAGAAAAGTTCATCATTTTGTGAACAACTTTTCTAGAGAAAAGTTCATCATTTTGTGAACAACTTTTCTAGAGAAAAGTTCGTCATTTTGTGAACAACTTTTCTATAGAAAAGTTCATCATAATATGAACAACTTTTCTATAGAAAAGTTCATCATAATATTAACAACTTTTCTATAGAAAAGTTCATCATAATATGAACAACTTTTCTATAGAAAAGTTCATCATAATATGAACAATTTTTCTATAGAAAAGTTCATCATAATATGAACAACTTTTCTATAGAAAAGTTCATCATAATATGAACAACTTTTCTATAGAAAAGTTCATCATAATATGAACAACTTTTCTATAGAAAAGTTCATCATAATATGAACAACTTTTCTATAGAAAAGTTCATCATAATATGAACAACTTTTCTATAGAAAAGTTCATCATAATATGAACAACTTTTCTATAGAAAAGTTCATCATAATATGAACAACTTTTCTATAGAAAAGTTCATCATAATATGAACAACTTTTCTATAGAAAAGTTCATCATAATATGAACAACTTTTCTATAGAAAAGTTCATCATAATATGAACAACTTTTCTATAGAAAAGTTCATCATAATATGAACAACTTTTCTATAGAAAAGTTCATCATAATATGAACAACTTTTCTATAGAAAAGTTCATCATAATGTGAACCACTTTTCTATAGAAAAGTTCCTTATAAAGTGAACAACTTTTCTATAGAAAAGTTCCATATAATGTGAACAACTTTTCTATAGAATAGTTCCTTATAATATAAACAACTTTTCTTTAGAAAAGCTCTTTATAATGGGAACAACTTTTCTATAGAAAAGTTCCTTATAATGCGAACAACTTTCCAACACTTTGTAGGCAACTTTTCTATGGAGTAGTTCATTACTTTGTGAACAACTTTCTATGAAAATGTTCTTTCTTTGTTCATCACTGTTTTCTTTTTAAATTAAAACTTGTACATTTGTTAGTTTTTATTTGATTTCTTAATTAAAATTTCTTTTTTAAACTTATAATTATATAGAATCCTTTGTTGTAGCAATAATTGTTTAATAGTTTTAATCCAGCACCTTTCTAATTGTTTAAATATTTTGTTTTTAGCATTACCCTTAACGATTATTTTGTAGTAAAAGTATATTTTTGTTTTTTTGGACCTTTTAGTTTATTCTCTATCCTTCTTCTTCTTTGGTTTTTATATCCTGCGCCTTTTAATTATAATTTAGGTTGTGGTTCTAGCAAATGTGCTTGTGGTGTGTTGCCTACTTTTTTTTTTGTAACTCTCACTTTTAATCTGCTTAAAGCACCTTACTTGGCTTAAAATTTCGAATTATTAATTAATCAATTAAATGCTGCCTTTATAATTATAATCCAAAGCACACTTGCTAACTAAATAACATTATTATTATCTATCCATTATATGCCAGTATAACTATAATGAAATCTTCCTTTATATATATGTATATGCTATTTAGCAAACACCCCATATAAGTCGTAGTCCAGAGAATACTTTTGTCAATGGTGGCACTTTACAAAAACATATATCCACCTCTAAGCTTTTACATGCCACTGAGGTCAATACTTGTTCCTCTTCTTCGGTTACTGCTACACATTCCGGTGAAAATTCCATGGAAAGTTCTACTTGTGATCCATTAACAAATCTTAACACCACCAATTCCTCAGAGCCAGACGCTTCCATGTGTGAAGGTTTGCGACGCATGAGCGATTGCCCTTGTCGTTTGAATGCCTCGGCTGATGAAAATAATGCTCAACGTTTAATGGAAGCGGAAATTAATCGTCAAAATTTCTTGCAACAAGAATTAAATGATTCATTACCTTCCGCCGCAGTTGGTTCGAATACTGCTGATACACAAACATTGGGCAATGGTATTTTTTCAAGAGTTCCTTCTCAACACTATAAAGTTGGTAAATATTTAATGGCCGTACATCGTAAGATAACACGTCAGGATAGTTATTTCTTATCACATCATAAAACTCGCCCCAGCATTTTCGGTGTGCCTTTGATTATACCCAATTTGGAGGGTGGCACTAACAAGGACTTATACTGTGCGGTTTGGCTACAGGTTAGTCGTCTGTTAAGTCCATTGCCAGCATCAACGGATCAAGCAAATCATGCGGCTGATTGGTAAGTTCAAAAAGAGAGCAACTTCTCTAAAGGAAAATTGAAATAACAGCAATTTTTCTATAGAAAAGTTCATCTTAAAAATATAAATTTTTCTAAAGAAAAGTTCTTCCTAATAAGAACAACTTTTCTGCAGAAAAGTTCTTCATGATAAGAACAACTTTACTATAGAAAATTTCTTCCTAATAAGAACAACTTTTCTACAGAAAATTTCTTCCTAATAAGAACAACTTTTCTAAAGAAAAGTTTTTCAAAATAAAAACAACTTTTCTATAGAAAAGTTCTTCCTAATAAGAACAACTTTTCTATAGAAAAGTTCTTTATAATAAGAACAACTTTTCTATAGAAAAGTTTTTCAAAATAAAAACAACTTTTCTATAGAAAAGTTCTTCCTAATAAGAACAACTTTTCTATACAAAGGTTCATCTTAATAAGAACAACTTTTCTATAGAAAAGTTCATCTTAATAAGAACAACTTTTCTATAGAAAAGTTCATCTTAATAAGAACAACTTTTCTATAAAAAAGTTCTTCATTATAAGAAACACTTTCTATAGTAAAGTTCTTCATAATAAGAACAACTTTTCTATAGTAAAGTTCTTCATAATAAGAACAACTTTTCTATAGAAAAGTTCTACATAATAAGAACAACTTTTCTATACAAAAGTTCATCATAATAAGAACAACTTTATGATTAACTTTTCTTTAGAAAAGTTGTTCTTTTAAAGATAAACTTTTCTATGAAAAGTTGTTCTTATTAACATGAACTTTTCTATGAAAAGTTGTTCTTATTAACATGAACTTTTCTATAGAAAAGTTGTTCTTATCAAGATGAACTTTTCTATAGAAAAGTTGTACTTATTAAGATGAACTTTTCTATAGAAAAGTTGTTCTTATCAAGATGAACTTTTCTATAGAAAAGTTGTTCTTATCAAGATGAACTTTTCTATCGAAAAGTTGTTCTTATTAAGATGAACCTTTGTATAGAAAAGTTGTTTTTATTTTGAAAAACTTTTCTATAGAAAAGTTGTTCTTATTAGGAAGAAATTTTCTATAGAAAAGTTGTTCTAATTAGGAAGAAATTTTCTATTGAAAAGTTGTTCTTATCATGAAGAACTGTTCTGTAGAAAAGTTGTTTTTATTAGCAAGATGAACTTTTCTATAGAAAAGCTGCTCTTATTAAGATGAACTTTTCTATAGAAAAGTTATTCATATTATGATAAACTTTTCCATAGAAAAGTTATTCATATTATGATAAACTTTTCCATAGAAAAGTTGTTCTTATTATGATGAACTTTTCTATAGAAAAGTTGTTCTTATTAAGATAAAATTTTCTTTAAAAAAGTTGCTCATATTGTGATGAACTTTTCTACAGAAAACTTTCTCACATTCTGATGAACTTTGGTTTCATCAAGAGCAACTTTTCGGTGAAAGGGTTGATCAGTACGAGAGCAATCTTTTCATACAAACTAGAGCGGATCAAGATCAACTTTTTGTTTTCTTTTTTCCAGTGACGATAGTTTGGGTTATGATTTTCCCTTTTCCTTGCGTGCCGTTAAAAATGATGGTCTAACATGTGCTTTATGTCCCTGGTCTAACTTTTGTCGTGGCTGTGAAATACCCTGCAATAATGATTATGTTTTACAAGGAAATTTATTTAGCAGCAGCTTAAATACAAGTAAGTGTTCTTTAAAATCCTAGAAGAAATAGGAAATTAATAATAAAATCCTTTTAAAGGTAATGCCTCTACACCCAAAATGATGCCAAAATATACAACAGGTTCTTTGCCTAATTTAGAAAATAAAAAATCCCTCGCAAATACCACAAACGACAGAGATTCTTTGCCATTGCAACACTCTACAACACAACAACCGCTGGCTACTAGAAATACATCAGAACATTTTACCATAGCCATAGATTGGGATCCTACAGCATTGCATTTGCGTTATCAAAGTACTTTGGAAAGGGTGGGTTTTGTTTTGAATTGTTTATGAGATCGTTTGTAAAGTAAAGTTTATTTTTAGCTTTGGGTGGATCATGATACGGTGAGCATATGTCGTAAAGAACAAATAGAACCGGTAGACTTAAATCATTGTTTGAAAGCATTTACCTCGGAAGAGAAATTGGAACAATGGTATCATTGCAGTCATTGTAAGGGTAAAAAACCAGCCACTAAAAAATTACAAATTTGGAAATTACCACCCATATTGGTAAGTTGAACTTAAGGCGATTGAAGTAATGATAAGAATGAAATGTTTTTTCTTTTAGATTGTGCATTTGAAACGTTTCAATTGTGTCAACAATAAATGGGTTAAATCCCAAAAAGTGGTGCACTTTCCTTTTGATAATTTCGATCCAACTCCCTATTTGGCCGCTGTGCCTCAGGAAACTATATTACGACACAAAGAACTACTCGAAATGAATGATATTTCTAAAACATTAAGCGACATTAGTGAAAAAGATGATACTACTACCAACACATTAAATGATAAAGCCTTAGAAACTCCAACTACTGCTACACACTCTCCAAACAATGGCAATAGTAACAACTCCACCGCCCTAAAACCTAACAACACAAACGCTAATCTTAAACCTCTTAATGGTCTAACCAAAGAGGCTCAATTATCTTTAAATGATCAAGTTAATAATTTGCTGAATTTACACTCAAATCATACTCAAATTTTAGACGACTGTAGTAATATTGTTGAGGACAACACCGCCAACAGTGCAACAAAAACTACAACAACTATACCTACTCAAAATCCTAGCAATACCCATAATGATAATTTACCCCTCAACACCTCAGATGATTTAGATGATGAAGAAAGTTCAGATAAAATGTTAGATAATGCCTCAATAATGGGTAATACTTTGCGTAAGAATGAGGGTGATCGTACAATGACTAGACGGAAACGTCTAATATCGACCAGTTTAACTAAGACCCCAATAATTGATGGTGAATTTGAAGATTTTCATCAGCATAAACTGAAAAGTGGTGAAGATAAATTTGATCCGAAATATAAATTATATGCTGTTGTGGTAAGTAGGAGAATAAGTTAAGATAGATGATTAATGTTTTAGGGAATGTTGTCCTATAGGAAAGTTGTTCATATTATGAAGAACTCTTCCATAGCAAAGATGTCCAATTTGTAAAGAACTTTTCCATAGAAAAGTTTTTCATATTATGATGAAATTTTCTATAGAAAGGTTGCTCATTTTATGAAGAACTTTTTTCTAAAAAAGTTGTTGATATTAAGAAGTACTTTTCTATAGAAAAGTTGTTGCTATTAAGAAGAACTTTTTTATAGAAAAGTTTTTCATATTGTGAAGAACTTTTCCATAGAAAAGCTGTTCATATTGTAAAAAACTTTTCTATAGAAAAGCTGTTCATATTGTAAAAAACTTTTCTCTAGAAAAGTTGTTCATATTGTGGAGAACTTTTCTATAGAAAAGTGGTTCATATTGTGAAGAACTTTTCCATCGAAAAGTTGTTCATATTGTGAAGAACTTTTCCATCGAAAAGTTGTTCATTTTATGAGGAACTTTTCCTTAAAAAAGTTGTTCATATTATGATGAACTTTCCAAGAGAAAAGTTATACATATTATGTTGAACTTTTCTATAGAAAAGTTGTTCATATTGCAAAGAACTTTTCTATAGAAAAGTTGTTAATATTGCAAAGAAATTTTCTATAGAAAAGTTGTTCATATTGCAAAGAACTTTTCTATAGAAAAGTTGTTCATATTATGATGAACTTTTCTATAGAAAAGTTGTTCATATTATGATGAACTTTTCTATAGAAATGTTGTTCATATTATGATGAACTTTTCTATAGAAAAGTTGTTCATATTATGATGAACTTTTCTATAGAAAAGTTGTTCATATTATAATGAACTTTTCTATAGAAAAGTTGTTCATATTATAATGAACTTTTCTATAGAAAAGGAGTTCATATTATAATGAACTTTTCTATCGAAAAATTGTTCATATTATAATGAACTTTTCTATAGAAAAGTTGTTCATATTATAATGAACTTTTCTATAGAAAAGTTGTTCATATTATGATGAACTTTTCTATAGAAAAGTTGTTCATATTATGATGAACTTTTCTATAGAAAAACTTTTCTTTAGGAAAAGTTAATTAGATTGAAATAAACTTTTATAAGGAAATCTTAGAAAAGTTGTTCATATTGTGAAGAACTTTTCTATAGAAAAGTTGTTCATATTATGATGAACTTTTCTATAGAAAAGTTGTTCATATTATGATGAACTTTTCTATAGAAAAGTTGTTCATATTATGATGAACTTTTCTATAGAAAAGTTGTTCATATTATGATGAACTTTTCTATAGAAAAGTTGTTCATATTATGATGAACTTTTCTATAGAAAAGTTGTTCATATTATGATGAACTTTTCTATAGAAAAGTTGTTCATATTATGATGAACTTTTCTATAGAAAAGTTGTTCATATTATGATGAACTTTTCTATAGAAAAGTTGTTCATATTATGATGAACTTTTCTATAGAAAAGTTGTTCATATTATGATGAACTTTTCTATAGAAAAGTTGTTCATATTATGATGAACTTTTCTATAGAAAAGTTGTTCATATTATGATGAACTTTTCTATAGAAAAGTTGTTCATATTATGATGAACTTTTCTATAGAAAAGTTGTTCATATTATGATGAACTTTTCTATAGAAAAGTTGTTCATATTATGATGAACTTTTCTATAGAAAAGTTGTTCATATTATGATGAAATTTTCTATAGAAAAGTTGTTCATATTATGATAAAATTTCTATAGAAAAGTTGTTCATATTATGATGAACTTTTCTGCAGAAAAGTTGTTCATATTATGATGAACTTTTCTATAGAAAAGTTGTTCACATTATGATGAAATTTTCTATAGAAAAGTTGTTCATAATATGATGAACTTTTCTATAGAAAAGTTTTTCATATTATGATGAACTTTTCTATAGAAAAGTTGTTCATATTATGATGAACTTTTCTATAGAAAAGTTGTTCATATTATGATGAACTTTTCTATAGAAAAATTGTTCATATTATGATGAACTTTTCTATAGAAAAGTTGTTCATATTATGATGAACTTTTCTATAGAAAAGTTGTTCATATTATGATGAAAAGTTGTTCATATTATGATGAACTTTTCTATAGAAAAGTTGTTCATATTATGATGAACTTTTCTATAGAAATGTTGTTCATATTATGATGAACTTTTCTATAGAAAAGTTGTTCATATTATGATGAACTTTTCTATAGAAAAGTTGTTCATATTATGATGAAATTTTCTATAGAAAAGTTGTTCATATTATGATGAAATTTTCTATATAAAAGTTGTTCATATTATGATGAAATTTCTATAGAAAAGTTGTTCATATTATGATGAACTTTTCTATATAAAAGTTGTTCATATTATGATGAACTTTTCTATAGAAAACTTGTTCATATTATGATGAACTTTTCTATAGAAAAGTTGTTCATATTATGATGAAATTTTCTATATAAAGGTTGTTCATTTTATCATGAACTTTTCTATAGAAAAGTTGTTCATTTTATGATGAACTTTTCTATAGAAAAATTGTTCATTTTATCATGAACTTTTATATAGAATAGTTGTTCATATTATGATGAACTTTTCTTTAGGAAAAATTCATTAGATTGTATTAAACTTTTATAAGGAAATCTTATCTAATATCATTTTTATTTCTGTTTTCAGTCACATTCTGGCATGTTAAATGGTGGTCATTATGTTTCTTATGCCGCCAACCCCAACGGTTCATGGTATTGTTATAATGACAGTTCATGTCGTGAAATATCCAGTCAACCCAACATTGATCCCAGCTCTGCATATTTACTTTTCTACGAACGCAAGGGATTAGACTATGAACCCTACTTGCCAAATATTGAAGGAAAGACAATACCAAATGGTGGTTTGGGTATAATAGAAAATGATGAAACGGATAATGACCTGAAGAAAATGTGCACAATAACATAAAATTGAAGTTTAAGGTAAGAAATTGGTTAAAAGAAAACAAACATGAAATTTAAAACAACTAAACACACGCTGAGCGTATAATTAAAAATTGTGATTATTATATAATTTATAGGTATGTTAATTTTTTTTTATATATATTTAAACATAATTCTACTTTAATTTGTAAAATTTATGAAGAAGAAAAACCAGTAAAGAAAATTAAGTGTGAAGTTAAAAATTAACGAAATTTTTGGCAAATTTAAGCAAAAATATTGTCATTAAAGTGTGGAAGCAGGGAGGGAAGTAATGGTTTTTGTTTTATATAATTATGTGTAATTTATTATGTTTATTATATAATTTTATTTATGTTTTGTTAATTATACATTATTATCATTATAATATGTTATAAATAAATTATATTAGTCGAATTTAGGTTTTTTTCTTTGTTTATTTTTATTATTTTTTTTTTTTCTTCTTATTTTAGTTTAGGTGTTATTTCGTTGTATAATTAAACAAAAAACTAATATTATTCTATATTTATGTCTGCTTAAGTGCAATATACATATTTTTTAACAAATGCATACATATTTTTTTTTTGTTGTATAATATACAAATATTTACTAATTTTCTTTAATTTATCAAAACGTAATAGAAAACTTATAAAAAGGTTTTAAAACAAAATCTGATACTAAAGATATTTATAAATTATTTAATATTATTATAAACAATGATATAATTTTATATTTGAAAACTAATTAATCCATTTTTTTTTTCAAATCTGTTATGGTTTATAAATTAGTTGGTAAAATTTTGAAAAATTGTTTCAAGAATTTGTGTTAAAATATCGGAATAATGTACACAACAATTCAATAGAAAACATCGTCACTATGTGAAGAACTTCTCTATAGAAATGTTCATCAAAATGTGAATAAATTGTCAATAGAAAACTTCATCATAATATGAACAACTTTTCTATAGAACAATTCATCATAATATGAACAACTTTTCTATAGAACAATTCATCATAATATGAACAACTTTTCTATAGAAAAGTTCATCATAATATCCACAACTTTTCTACAGAAATGTTCAGCATAATACGAACTTTTCTATAGAAAAGTAATTTACAATGTGAACATTTTAATATAACGATCATCACAATGTAAACAACTTTTCTATAGAATTGGTCCTGATAGCATGAACATCTTTTCTATAGAAAACTGCATCACAATATAAACAACTTTTCTATAGAAATCATCGTCAAAATGCAAACAAGTTTTTTATAGAAAAGTTCATCACAATGTTGCTGTTACTTCAAGAAAAATTACCAACAAATATCCACTAATCAAAAGCATAATAATAAACAACAACAAAACAATGTCTGCTTCAACAGCCAATCAAAATGTGTTTCATAAGTAAAGCAAGAAAAACAAAACAAAGAAAATCACACAAACGCACATATACTAGCATACATTACTGACAGCCAATGAAAACAACGCGTGTTTTAAAAGTGATAATAGAGCTGCCAGATCAGATTATTTTAAAGTAAATAAGCAGGAAAATAAAACTAAATGGTGGGATATTGAGGAATAAATGTGAAAATGAAATTAACATTGGAATTTGTATGAAATCTCGCAAAAATAACAGATTTTAATTTAAAATAATGTTAGTTTTTAATTGAACTGTTACTTCTGCTTGGTTTTCTCCGAATTTGTGAATATATTTCTTTAAATGTTACCAACTAAAAAGTGAAAACACTTTTCTCACACAGATTTGCAAAAGTAAAAAGATTAATTAATATATTTTTTTTTAATAATGATATTTTAATTAATAAGAAACAAAATATGGCTGCTTTAAAAAATCGTAATTAGAAAAAAATTTAAAAATAAATTTTGTAAAACAATTAAAAGAAAACTTCAAATAATAGCTAAAACAACACTAGGAAAACAGTTAAAGTTTTGAATTATAACTCAAAACTTTGAAAAATGCAAAATTTAATTATATAAAACAAGTTTTATAAGTTTGCAATCTTAAGGCTTTAATATTCTTATTATTATTTTGCTTCTTTAGCTATTAACCACAATTAGTCATTGGTATATATAATATTTTTCATAAACAACGCCATTTTTTTCTAACAAATTAAAAAAACCTATGTCATTTTTTGTGTATGTGTGTAATAAATAATATTTTAAATATTTTTTTATAATAAAATCTACAACTAATTTTACTTTATTTTTATTTTATTATTAAATATTAAGAAAAAATGTCTATAAATAGCATAAAGGGAAAATATTAAAAAAAAAAATAATTAATTTAAGGCAAATTCCTTAAAAGAAATTAACAAGAAACATACATAATAAATTATTCATATTATTGCTGTTTATTAATGAAAAGTATCAAAGTGAAGACGATGAAAATTTATTAATATATTATTAAAAAAAAAAACGCTTTACAGTATTTAAAAGATAAATTCTAACCCGAAAAAATAATGTTTTATTTAATTAAAAAACAAAATTGTAGTCAAATTAGTAGCAATGTGAGTATGAATATCATTATTTTATTAAAGTTATCTAAAATCCTTAAAATCTAGTCTATAGTCTAGTCTGTAGTCTAGTCTGTAGCCTAGTCTGTAGTCTAGTATGTAGTCTAGTCTGTAGTCTAGTCTATAGTCCGGTCTATAGCCTAGTCTAGTCTATAGTCTGGTCTATAGCCTAGTCTGTAGTGTAGTCTATATCCTAGTATATAGGCTAATCTGTAGTCTACTATATTCTATTCTATAGCCTAGTCTATAGACTAGTCTAGTCTATAATCTTGTCCATAATCTAGTCTATAATCTACTATATAGTCTAGTCTGAAAGCCTATTCTATAGTGTAGTCTATAGTCTAGTCTGCAGTCTAGTCTATAGTTTAGTTTATAGTCTAGTCTATAGTCTAGTCAATAGTCTAATCTATAGTCTAGTCTATAGTCTAGTCTATAGTCTAGTCTATAGTCTAGTCTATAGTATAGTCTATAGTCTAATCTATAGTCTAGTCTATAGCCTATTATACACTCTAGTCTATAGACTATCCTATAGTTTAGTCTACAGCCTAGTCTATAGTTTAGACTACAGTCTATAGCCTACTCTATAGTCTAGTCTATAGCCTATTCTATAGTCTAGTCTATAGTCTAGTCTATAGCTAGTCTATAGTCTAGTCTATAGTCTATCCTATAGTCTAGTCTATAGTCTAGCCTATAGTCTAATCTATAGCCTAGTCTATAGTCTAGTCTATAGTCTAGTCTATAGTCTAGTCTACAGCCTAGTCTAGTCTAGTCTGTAGCCTATTCTATAGTTTAGTCTAGTCTATAGCCTAGCCTATAGCCTAATCTATAGCCTAGTCTATAGTCTAGTCTAGCCTACAGCCTAGTCTATAGCCTAGTCTATACCCTAGTCTATAGTCTAGTCTATAGCCTAGTCTATAGTCTAATCTATAGCCTAGTCTATAGTCTAATCTATAGCCTAGTCTATAGCCTAGTCTATAGTCTAGTCTATAGTCTAGTCTAGACTACAGCTTAGTCTATAGCCTAGTCTATAGTCTAGTCTATACCCTAGTCTATAGTATAGTCTATAGCCTAGTCTATAGTCTAGTCTATAGTCTAGTCTATAGCCTAGTCTATAGTCTAGTCTATAGCCTAGTCTGTAGTCTAGTCTATAGCCTAGTCTATAGTTTAGTCTATAGCCTAGTCTACAGCCTAGTCTATAGTCTAGTCTATAGTCCAGTCTATAGTCTAGTCTATAGTCTAGTCTACAGTCTAGTCTATAGTCTAGTCTATAGTCTAATCTATTGTCTAGTCTATAGTCTAGTCTATAGCCTAGTCTAGAGCCTAGTCTATAGTATATAGCCAAGTCTACAGCCTAGTCTATAGTCTAGTCTATAGTCTAGTCTATAGTCTAGTCTATAGTCTAGTCTATAGTCTAGTCTATAGTCTAGTCTATAGCCTAGTCTAGAGCCTAGTCTACAGTATATAGCCAAGTCTATAGTCTAGTCTATAGTCTAATATATAGCCTATTCTTATTCTATCTTATAGTATAGTCTATAATCTAGTATATAGTCTAGTCTGTAATCTAGTCTATAGCCTATTCTATAGTGTAGTCTATAGCCTATTCTATAGTATAGTCTGCAGTCTAGTCTATAGTCTGGTCTATAGTCTAATATATAGCCTAGTCTATAGTCTAATCTGTTGTCTAGTCTAGAGCCTAGTCTATAGTATATAGCCTAGTCTATAGCCTATAGTCCAGTTTATAGTCTAGTCTATAGTCTAATATATAGCCTATTCTATACCCTATCTTATAGTCTAGTCTATAATCTGGGCTATAGTCTAGCCTATAGTCAAATCTATTATTATTTCAAAGTTCCTTTTTATATAAACTAAAAGTTTTTTTTTTATTCTTAATCATTTTAATTATTTATCTTTATTATTATTTGTTAAAAATTACATTTAAAATATATAAATATTTTACTTGTTTTATATTATATTTCCCAAAAGACGTAAGTACTTTATTTTAACCAAACAGCCTTAAATAAATATTGCTCCATAGCTCATATAATGGAAGGTGTTGCACACACATTTAATGTCTTGATACGAAAGTAAACTAATTTAGAACACATTACGGCAAATAGGGCAAGTAGATTTGGAACTGGTGGTAAACCATTTATACTAAAAAATAAATTAAATATAAATGTTTAAAACTTAAAAAATCTCAAATTTTATAATACTTACCAAACAGGGACCATGGAATTTCTTTTTACACGTTTTACAGGTTAATTTCGGTAATTGGCAGGTGTCTTGATGTATAACCGTATAACAAACGTAACATTCCTCCACGCCCTCGAATTTCTTATCCAGATTATTTTTCCACAAAGCCAAACCATCAAATATGGTGCCGTTCTAGGGTGCAGAGGAAACATTAATTTTAATTCTAATCTTTTCTGGTTTTTATTTTCTGAGGGGATTAATATTTACCTGATGTGTTAGAAATATGGTCAATTGCATGGCTACATTACGTGATGTTAAACGTCCGCCAATTTGTTTATTACAATCTACCTTTACGGAGCCCAAAGGATAATTAGACGCTAACGTTATGACCAATTCCATGCGTGCTTCATCTATGGAATATACGGCTAAAACTTCGCGAGTTGATATGTGTACTGTGACCTAATAACATAATGAAATGGAAAGATTTTAAGAACTGTGGATATAGCAGTGTTTTTATGCTTTTCATTCTAATTTTGTTCTTCTTCTACTTCTAGTTCAGTTCTAGTCTAGTTCAGTTCTAGTTCAGTTCTAGTTCAGTTCTAGTTCAGTTCTAGTTCAGTTCTAGTTCTAGTTCAGTTCTAGTTCAGTTCTAGTTCAGTTCTAGTTCAGTTCTAGTTCAGTTCTAGTTCAGTTCTAGTTCAGTTCTAGTTCAGTTCTAGTTCAGTTCTAGTTCAGTTCTAGTTCAGTTCTAGTTCAGTTCTAGTTCAGTTCTAGTTCAGTTCCAGTTCAGTTTCAGTTCAGTACCAGCTCAGTTCCAGTTTAGTTCCAGTTCTAGTTCAGCTCTAGTTCAGTTCCAGTTCAGTTCCAGTTTAGTTCCAGTTCAGTTCTAGTTCAGTACCAGCTCAGTTCCAGTTTAGTTTCCAGTTCAGTTCTAGTTCAGCTCTAGTTCAGTTCCAGTTCAGTTCCAGTTTAGTTCCAGTTCAGTTCTAGTTCAGTTCCAGTTCCAATACAGTTCCAGTTCTGTTCTAGTTCAGTTCTAGTTTAGTTCTAGTTCAGTTCTAGTTCAGTTCCAGTTCAGTTCCAGTTTAGTTCCAGTTCAGCTCTAGTTCAGTACCAGCTCAGTTCCAGTTTAGTTCCAGTTCAGTTCTAGTTTAGCTCTAGTTCAGTTCAGTTCCAGTTTAGTTCCAGTTCAGTTCTAGTTCAGTACCAGCTCAGTTCCAGTTTAGTTCCAGTTCAGTTCTAGTTCAGCTCTAGTTCAGTTCCAGTTCAGATCCAGTTCAGTTCCAGTTCAGTTCTAGTTCAGCTCTAGTTCAGTTCCAGTTCAGTTCCAGTTCAGTTCCAGTTCAGTTCCAGTTCAGTTCCAGTTCCGTACAGAACCAGAACAGAACTGAACTGGAACGGAACTGAACTAGAAATGAACTAGAACTGAACTGGAACTGAAGTAGAACTAAACTAGAAATGAACTAGAACTGAACTGGAACTGAACTGGAACTGAACTGGAATTGAACTGGAACTGAACTAGAGCTGAACTAGAACTGAACTAGGACTGAACTAGAACTGAATTAGAAGTGAACTAGAAGTGAACTAGAACTGAACTAGTACTGAACTAGGACTGAACTAGGACTGAACTATAACTGAACTAGAGCTGAACTAGAGCTGGAACTAGAACTGAACTAGAACTGAACTACTGAACTGAACTAGAACTGAACTAGAACTGAACTAGAACTGAACTAGAACTGAACTAGAACTGAACTAGAACTGAACTAGAACTGAACTAGAACTGAACTAGAACTGAACTAGAACTGAACTAGAACTGAACTAGAACTGAACTAGAACTGAACTAGAACTGAACTAGAACTGAACTAGAACTGAACTAGAACTGAACTAGAACTGAACTAGAAATGAACTAGAACTGAACTGGAACTGAACCGGAACTGAACTGGAACTGAACTGGAACTGAACTAGAGCTGAACTAGAACTGATCTAGAACTGAACTAGAACTGAACAAGAACTGAACTAGAACTGAACTAGAACTGAACTAGAACTGAACTAGAAGTGAACTAGAACTGAACTAGAACTGAACTAGAACTGAACTAGAACTGAACTAGAACTGAATTAGAAGTGAACTTAAACTGAACTAGAACTGAACTAGAACCGAACTAGAACTGAACTAGAACTGAACTAGAACTGAACTAGAACTGAACTAGAACTGAACTAGAACTGAACTAGAACTGAACTAGAGCTGAACTAGAGCTGAACTAGAGCTGAACTAGAACTGAACTAGAACAGAACTAGAACAGAACTAGAACTGAACTAGAACTGAACGAGAAATTAGAACTGAATTAGAACTGAATTAGAACTGAACTAGAACTGAACTAGAACTGAACTAGAACTGAACTAGAACTGAACTAGAACTGAACTAGAACTGAACTAGAACTGAACTAGAACTGAACTAGAACTGAACTAGAACTGAAGTAGAACTGAACTAGAACTGAACTAGAACTGAACTAGAATTGAACTAGAATTGAACTAGAACTGAACTAGAACTGAACTAGAACTGAACTGGAAATGAACTAGAACTGAACTAGAACTGAACTAGAACTGAACTAGAACTGAACTAGAACTGAACTAGAACTGAACTAGAACTGAACTAGAACTGAACTAGAACTGAACTAGAACTGAACTAGAACTGAACTAGAACTGAACTAGAACTGAACTAGAAGTAAACCGAGCTAGAACTTATTTCTCACCTGCATATTTTCATGTTTATCCTTTTTACTAGCAATCGCCATCAATTCCTCTTGACATATAATGGGCGAAACGAAATTAGTGGTTAAAGTATCGACAAAGGTCTTTTGTCTGGAGGGACTAGTGTTCCACCATTTGCGTACAACAGCGGGTAGTTTACTCAAAACATCGGTGTACAAATGACAGACATACTTTTCCAAAGATAAATTAGGATCTAAAAAAACAAGTAGAAAAGAAAAAAAGAAAATAAATAATTTCTAAAATCAACGACATTTCATAAATTAAAATTATTTGTAAGAAAAATTTTGTGTGTTTTTGAAAATGGCCATTAATTTTGAAGAAATTCCCAGTGAAATTGAAATTCCCCTAAAACCTGCCCAAAAAACCAAAACCGTCCAGGAAGAACTTAATGAGCGACAATCTTTGCTAAATGAACGTGCTATAAAATGTAAGGATATAAGACCATTTTTTGAAAAACTGCATAAACCGGCCCCACGCTATTTGTATCGCTATTTATGTGTTTGTCCTCGTTATAATCCTCAATATGTTTGCAAACATTCGGGCAATATCATAATCGATCGCGATGTTTTAACACCTGAAGAGCATATTGTCTATTTGGCCACACCCAAGGCCAATTTCGCAGCACCTCGTCAAATGCCACGATATTTTCTTCGTAAATCTATTATAGCCAATTGTACAGCTCGTATAAATCGTTTGGCTAAACCTGATTTGAAACAAGTAACGGATACCTTAAACAATTTCAATCATGTTATATCGAGACGTCATAGAAGATCGTTGAGAAAACGTTTGGAAAAATCTGTAAATGTGGAATATACTACAATACAAAAGGCTTTAGATTGGTTGGGTGAAGAGAAAAGATTGCGTAAGATGGCTAAGAGGATGGAGAGACTACGTTGCAAAAAATTATCACGGAAAATTGTTGCCAAACAGAGACAGCAAATTAAAAAGATTGTTTGTATTCTATTTGAAGAAATGAAAGATTTCCTTTTAAATGATCAATTCATAATGGATGAAAGTTCGACTTTGGTGATGGTGATATTGGAGACATTGAGAGATTTTACAGACAAAGAATTCTATATAACCAGTAATTTGCGAGAATATCAAAAAATACTAGCATTCAATTTGGCTGTTTGGATTAATAAATTCATATCAAATTTGAATATACATGTTGCAGAACCGCCCAAACCTAACGACGAAATGGCTGCACAACCACCAACTGAAAGACAAACCCAAGAGTTGTCATCATTTATTCCTGTAGGTGATTACATATCACCAATTGTCTCGGAGGAAGAACTGTATGAAGATGAAGATGATGAAGATTATTATTCTTACCCGCAAACTACCAGTGATAGGGGACAATATACTAACGATACGACTGATATCAAAGAAGAATTAAAATGAATTTAACAATTACCTTTGATTTGTGTCCAAGTGAGACCTTTAAAAATGTCGTTGTTTAGTTGTTTGGTACTATGATTTCTCAAAATTTCAGCCGGCATGGCACGGAATAAAAATTGTAGTAAATTCTGGAAAGAAATGGAAATATTGGAATTAATTGTAGTTTAGTTTTAGATCAGTTCTAATATAGTGCTAGTTCAGTTCTTGTTTAGTTCTAGTTCAGTTCTAGTCCAGTTCTAGTTATTTCTAGTTTAGTTTTAGTTTAGTTCTAGTTCTAGTTCAGTTCTAGTTTAGTTCTAGTTTAGTTCTTATTCAGATCTAGTTCAGTTCTAGTTCAGTTATAGTTTAGTTCTAGTTCAGTTCTAGTTCAGTTCTAGTTCAGTTCTAGTTCAGTTCTAGTTCAGTTCAAGTTCAGTTCAAGTTCAGTTCTAGTTCAGTTCTAGTTCAGTTCTAGTTTAGTTCTAGTTCAGTTCTTATTCAGTTCTACTTCAGTTCTAGTTCAGTTCTAGTTCAGTTCTAGTTCAGTTCTAGTTCAGTTCTAGTTCAGTTCTAGTTCCGTTCTAGTTCAGTTCTAGTTCAGTTCTAGTTCAGTTCTAGTTCAGTTCTAGTTCTGTTCTAGTTCTGCTCTAGTTCTGTTCTAGTTCTGTTCTAGTTCTATTCTACTCTGTTCAGTTCTAGTTCAGTTCTAGTTCAGTTCTAGTTCAGTTCTAGTTCAGTTCTAGTTCAGTTCTAGTTCAGTTCTAGTTCAGTTCTAGTTCAGTTCTAGTTCAGTTCTAGTTCAGTTCTAGTTCAGTTCAGTTCTAGTTCAGTTCTTATTCAGTTCTAGTTCAGTTCTAGTTCAGTTCTAGTTCAGTTCTAGTTCAGTTCTAGTTCAGTTCTAGTTCAGTTCTAGTTCAGTTCTAGTTCAGTTCTAGTTCAGTTCTAGTTCAGTTCTAGTTCAGTTCTAGTTCAGTTCTAGTTCAGTTCTAGTTCAGTTCTAGTTCAGTTCTAGTTCAGTTCTAGTTCAGTTCTAGTTCAGTTCTAGTTCAGTTCTAGTTTAGTTCTAGTTCAGTTCTAGTTCTGCCATAGTTCTGCTCTAGTTCTGTTCTAGGTCTGTTCTAGTTCTGTTCTAGTTCTGTTTAGATCTACTTCTGTTCTGTTCTAGCTCTGTTCTAGTTCTATTCTGTTCTAGTTCTGTTCTAGCTCTGTTCTAGTTCTGTTCTAGTTCTGTTCTAGTTCTGTTCTAGTTCTGTTCTAGTTCTGTTCTAGTTCTGTTCTAGTTCTGTTCTAGTTCTGTTCTAGTTCTGTTCTAGTTCTGTTCTAGTTCTGCTCTAGTTCTGTTCTAGTTCTGTTCTAGTTCAGTTCTAGTTCAGTTCTAGTTCAGTTCTAGTTCAGTTCTAGTTCAGTTCTGTTCTAGTTCTGCTCTAGTTCTGTTCTAGTTCTATTCTACTCTGTTCTGTTCTAGTTCTGTTCTAGTTCTGTTCTAGTTCAGTTCTAGTTCAGTTCTAGTTCAGTTCTAGTTCAGTTCTAGTTCAGTTCTAGTTCAGTTCTAGTTCAGTTCAGTTCTAGTTCAGTTCTAGTTCAGTTCTAGTTCAGTTCTAGTTCAGTTCTAGTTCAGTTCTAGTTCAGTTCTAGTTCAGTTCTAGTTCAGTTCTAGTTCAGTTCTAGTTCAGTTCTAGTTCAGTTCTAGTTCAGTTCTAGTTCAGTTCTAGTTCAGTTCTAGTTCAGTTCTAGTTAAGTTCTAGTTCAGTTCTAGTTCGGTTCTAGTTCAGTTCTAGTTCAGTTCTAGTTCAGTTCTAGTTCAGTTCTAGTTCAGTTCTAGTTCAGTTCTAGTTTAGTTCTAGTTCAGTTCTAGTTCTGCCATAGTTCTGCTCTAGTTCTGTTCTAGTTCTGTTCTAGTTCTGTTCTAGTTCTGTTCTAGTTCTGTTCTAGTTCTGTTCTAGTTCTGTTCTAGTTCTGTTCTAGTTCTGTTCTAGTTCTGTTCTAGTTCTGTTCTAGTTCTGTTCTAGTTCTGTTCTAGTTCTGTTCTAGTTCTAGTTCTGTTCTAGTTCTGTTCTAGTTCTGTTCTAGTTCTGTTCTAGTTCTGTTCTAGTTCTGTTCTAGTTCTGTTCTAGTTCTGTTCTAGTTTTGTTCTAGTTCTGTTCTAGTTCTGTTCTATTTCTGTTCTATTTCTGTTCTAGTTCTGTTCTGTTCTGTTCTAGTTCTGTTCTAGTTCCGTTGTAGTTCTGTTTTAGTTCTATTCTAGTTCTGTTCTAGTTCGGTTCTGTTTCTGTTTTAGTTCTCTTCTAGTTCTGTTCTAATTCTGTTCTAGTTCAGTTATATTTGAGATCTAGTTTAGATCGGTCTCAGATCCGTTCTAGTTCCATTCTGTTCATTCTCAATTTTAGTTGAGTTCTGCTAGGTTCTAGTTCTTTTCCAATTGAGTACTAGTTCTGCTTTATATTCAGTCGTAAACTAATGTCTTGCTTAAATTGTACTCACCTCTTCATATTTATTTTCATGTAACCAGGAGGTATAAACTGAACGTAGAGCAACTGGTGATTTGGCACAAGCATATATAATACAATCCCATAACATTAAATAGCTTAATGCTTCATGTCTGTCAATAGCGGCCGTTTTACCTATTTCCGTCAATTTGAAGCTAAATATAAAGAAATCCAAACAATTAATAACAAATCTCCAAAAACCCTTGTTAGTTACAAAACTTACCTGAATTCCTTAATATATTTCTGTATTGGCATTTCATAACGTCCGATATAGTCTTCGAAACGATTCAAAAAATGCCATTTAACAATTTTGTGTTCATCTTTATCAATTTGCTCCGATTTCTTGTCATACACTTCAATATCATCGGCCACAAAGTGTGGTGTTAATTGACGCATCATATAAATACTTAAAGTACGCAGTGAATGAACAGGACTGGATAGGTTTTTCAATAGGAAATTGCAAACATGATCCAAAGTAATTTGGTTGGAATTTTTACAGAACTATGTAAGTAAATCAACAGTTATTTTATTGAAAACTAAAAACTTTTATTTACAATCTTACCGCATAAACAATACCATAATCCATATGATCCAGGGTAGTGGTGAGTTCATTTAAAAATATTTCCCAGCAATCGGAAAAGTTGGACGTAATATCTTAACAGATGTTAAGAGGAAACAAATCATACTCCTTTCCTTATGTATAATGAATATTTATTATTACTTACCTTGATGTTGACAAATACGATAAAAGGATTTAAACAATGTTAAATAGACATCACGGGAAAACACTTGTATCCATTCATCATATACATTTTTAATAAGTTCTGTTGAACTCTTCTGTTTTTCTTCGGCAAAGAATGAGGTTAAAGCGGCAAATAGTTTAAAGACATGAAGGGTAAAGTACAAAGTCTAGAGGGGAAAAATCAAGACAACATTTTTTAAACTGCGAAAGCTGTTCTGGATCAGTTCTAGTTCATTTCTCTTTCAGTTCTAGTTCAGTTCTGGATCAGTTCTAGTTTAGTTCTAGTTCAGTTCTAATTCAGTTCTAGTTCAGTTCTAGTTCAGTTCTAGTTCAGTTCTAGTTCAGTTCTAGTTCAGTTCTAGTTCAGTTCTAGTTCAGTTCTAGTTCAGTTCTAGTTTAGTTCTAGTTCAGTTCTAGTTCAGTTCTAGTTCAGTTCTAGTTCAGTTCTAGTTCAGTTCTAGTTCAGTTCTAGTTCAGTTCTAGTTCAGTTCTAGTTCAGTTCTAGTTCAGTTCTAGTTCAGTTCTAGTTCAGTTCTAGTTCAGTTCTAGTTCAGTTCTAGTTCAGTTCTAGTTCAGTTCTAGTTCAGTTCTAGTTCAGTTCTAGTTCAGTTCTAGTTCAGTTCTAGTTCAGTTCTAGTTCATTAGTTCTAGTTCAGTTCTAGTTCAGTTCTAGTTCAGTTCTAGTTCAGTTCTAGTTCAGTTCTAGTTCAGTTCTAGTTCAGTTCTAGTTCAGTTCTAGTTCAGTTCTAGTTCAGTTCTAGTTCAGTTCTAGTTCAGTTCTAGTTCAGTTCTAGTTCAGTCAGTTCTAGTTCAGTTCTAGTTCAGTTCTAGTCAGTTCTAGTTCAGTTCTAGTTCAGTTCTAGTTCAGTTCTAGTTCAGTTCTAGTTCAGTTCTAGTTCAGTTCTAGTTCAGTTCTAGTTCAGTTCTAGTTCAGTTCTAGTTCAGTTCTAGTTCAGTTCTAGTTCAGTTCTAGTTCAGTTCTAGTTCAGTTCTAGTTCAGTTCTAGTTCAGTTCTAGTTCAGTTCTAGTTCAGTTCTAGTTCAGTTCAGTTCTAGTTCGGTTCAGTTCGAGTTCAGTTCTAGTTCAGTTCTAGTTCAGTTCTAGTTCAGTTCTAGTTCAGTTCTAGTTCAGTTCTAGTTCAGTTCTAGTTCAGTTCTAGTTCAGTTCTAGTTCAGTTCTAGTTCAGTTCTAGTTCAGTTCTAGTTCAGTTCTAGTTCAGTTCTAGTTCAGTTCTAGTTCAGTTCTAGTTCAGTTCTAGTTCAGTTCTAGTTCAGTTCTAGTTCACTTCTAGTTCAGTTCTAGTTCAGTTCTAGTTCACTTCTAGTTCAGTTCTAGTTCAGTTCTAGTTCAGTTCTAGTTCAGTTCTAGTTCAGTTCTAGTTCAGTTCTAGTTCAGTTCTAGTTCAGTTCTAGTTCAGTTCTAGTTCAGTTCTAGTTCAGTTCTAGTTCAGTTCTAGTTCAGTTCTAGTTCAGTTCTAGTTCAGTTCTAGTTCAGTTCTAGTTCAGTTCTAGTTCAGTTCTAGTTCAGTTCTAGTTCAGTTCGAGTTCAGTTCTAGTTCAGTTCTAGTTCAGTTCTAGTTCAGTTCTAGTTCAGTTCTAGTTCAGTTCTAGTTCAGTTCTAGTTCAGTTCTAGTTCAGTTCTAGTTTTGTTCTAGTTCAGTTCTAGTTCAGTTCTAGTTAAGTTCTAGTTCAGTTCTATTTCAGTTCAGTTCTAGGTCAGTTCTAGTTCAGTTCTAGTTCAGTTCTAGTTCAGTTCTAGTTCAGTTCTAGTTCAGTTCTAGTTCAGTTCTAGTTCTTTTCACTTACCTTTTG